TCCTCACAATCCTGGTCTCAACCGCACTCGCGCCATCCACCAAGCGATAACTTCTCGTCTCATCATTCTTCTGCCCGATGCGGTTAACGCGCGCATACGCCTGCATCTCACGCCCGAAATCATAGTCCGGCTCCATGAGCACGATGTTAGCGGCGCGCGTGAGCTGCAGGCCTTTACCAAGGAGAGAAGGGGGACCGATTAGGAACTGTAGGTTTTCTTTGGGGTTTTTGCGCGTGGTAGTTAGGGGAACCAGGGCGTCGGTGAAGGCGTCGAGGGTGGATGTGCGTTGGCGTTGGGGCATGTTGGTGTGGAGGAGGCCGACGCGGGCTTTGGTGTGTTCGAAGTAATTTTCGATGAACTGATGCCATAGATTAAATATATCAGCATATAACCCTCAATCTCAATCTCAATCTCAATCCCAATACCAAACAAGAATGTACAAGGGGGGGACTCGCCATCTTCAAAATCAAGCCCACAACATTAAAACTCGTAATAATCAGCAGCTTCCTCTCGCGTCCCAGCGTATCTTTCCGGTCTAAAGTTTCCCTCCGTATAAAATTATACAACCAGCAGCACTTGGGGCTATTCTCTACAATGAGATTCAGTTTCTGGAAATACGGACATTTACGCTCCTCCTTCGGGTTTCGCCATTGCATGCATTCCTTAGACGACATATCAATCTTTGGAGTCTCTGCCGGCAGCCCCTTCGAGGAGCCTTGAAAAAAGAGAACCAGATACGGGAACGTGGCGAAAACACGGTGTTTCCATTCCGCTCGACACTCGGCGTTGAAATTGAGTTGGAGGGGACGAGAATCATATCCTTTCGCAATGGGGTCTTTGGCCTCAAAAGCGGCTTGGGTCTCCAGTAAGAGCACGTCTTTCTCGCGGTCCGTGACGCGCATGTAGCTTTTGATCACGTTTTGGAGCGCGGGATATCCGTCCTTGGTGGGCATGACGAAGATATCTTGATGGTAATGCGGCTTTAGCTTCATAAGGGGTCTGCCGAACCAGAGCGAATCGGTTGTACGACGGAGCATGTATGTTTGCAGGAACGGGAACATCCGGTCTCTGAAGTCGGGAAGCATGTCTCTATAGCCCACGTTCCGCTTCACGTAGCGCTCAAAGTCGGTGCAGACGACGTCGAGTTCTTTGTAGCGCAGACCGGGAGTCGACTGGTATTTATCATGGCGGTCCCAGGAGGATATGCGTTGGAGACCATGGTGTGCATGAGGGATTGTTTGTTCGCGGTGGTGTTCGAGTGCCCATACCACGCTCTCCAGACCCCGTGGCGTGTCTGGGAGAGGAGTCCCGGAATATCCCCAGAGAAAGGGCCGGGCATCCTGACCCTCCAATTCAGCGAGCACGGCAGCCCGTCCTTTGTTTTTCTGGAAGTCCTCATGACACTCATCACTCATGGCAATACCCACCACAATCCCATGTCGTTTTCCTTTATAAAACTCGACCATACCACTGCCACTCTTTTCCAGCTGATGCTTAACACCATCATAATCGAATGCCTTTTTCACCCAGTTCTTATACTGGTGCGCCGTCGTAAGCAGAAGCATTCTCTCTGATCCAAAGTTCGGCACATCGGGTCCACTTAACGGTGGTCCAGGGGCTTGTTCTAGCCCAGAGATGCTCTTCCAGGGAAATTTCGGGCGAGCTTTGATTTCAGCAATGTTTTTCGCATGCCGCGCATCCACAATGTCGAAGCGTCCATCTTGTGTAAAGGCCGGAGGATGAGCGACAGCGAGACGCATCTGAAGTTTATCTTCCGTAACATCAACATGCTCATTCCACTGCTCACGCCATTGCAGCACTAAACCAGGCGGGACGACAGCAAGTCTGATGCCAGGCTTCGGCTTCATGTTTGCAGTAATACTACTCGCGACACAAGGACACGCAATCCAGCCGCGCCGAGATCGTATGCTGGGACAAATATTATGCTCGTCATCTTGTAAGTACTCCGAAAAATGCCTTCCATCGGCATCCTTTCTAGAGCGTGCAATGTCGCTCCATAGCCACGCTAATTGGCGCTCTACGACGATATAAGACAGGAATGACAGCGTTTTCCCCAGTCCCATCTCATCAGCCACGAACCCGCCGCCGATTTCGCGGCTTTGGATCATTTGCCAGTATACGCCGAATGCTTGGTATTGGTAGACTTTATTTTTGAGACCGGCGATAGGGATAAGTTCATTGGGGCCGATGGTGTTCGGATCGAGTTGGAAGAGCTCACAGCAGGCGTTCCAGCGGAGGGTGTTCCCTTCTGGTTCTGTGGGATCACGGAGTTGCATTAATTCATCCGAGTCCTGAAGACGATGGAGTCTTTTCCAATCAACACCAGTCAGCAATTAATAAATCACAAAGGGGCTCAGGAGTAAGTGGGAACATACTCAGCAACCAAAAAATCCTCTTCCTGCGGCATATCATCTACATCCTCGTCAAGCGGCCCAATCTCAGCTTCCTCCTTCGCAAGACTCAACTCCGAAAGGGTCTGCTCTTGCTCCAATTTCTGCGTCACCTCGGGCTCTGTTACTTCTTCATCTCTAATACCGCGGACGAAAGATCTAGTTTCATCAACCGTGTATTTAGTAGCGATAAGTGCGTCGAGTCTCTTGACTTTCGTTTCCTCGGGTGCTACAGGCAATGTACTTCCCCTGTACGGGTTTGTTTGCCATGCTGTTGGTTTACCCACTATTCCGTGATTAGCATTTCCATTGCACCATCTTGGAAAGGTAGCTTTCTCAAACGGGATGGGAACACACAACAAGAATCAACTTACTCGAAAGCTTCTCCATCTCCCTCTCTTTCTTGGTCTTCACCACCTTGTTCTTGGCATTGAAATTTGGACTCGACGGATGCTCGAGACTCCACCTACCCCCACCAAGTCTAGACGCAAGCGTCTCCCTGGTCTTCCCCACCACCTTCGACATCCTCGCCTTGATACCCGAACCCTGACTACTGCTCTTCTGCGTGCTCGAGCTCCACTTCGAGTTTCTAAGATGAACATCAGGATCAAGGTCTCCCGGCGAATTCAACTTGCTATTTCTGGGTTCCTCGGTCCTGGGGGAACGAATGGCCGAGAAGACTCTCGTGGGATCGGTGAGAGATATATGACCTCTATTCTTTTCTTCGGGGATGCTATTGTCGACGGAGGGTCTAACGGTCTGAAGCGGGGGCGACGGGAGAGGCTTTTTGCCTTCTCTTCTCAGCTGGGCTTCTTTCGATCGTCGAGTTGCCAATTCTCGCCCCACACGCGCTTTTTCCTGGCTTGGTGATTCAAGCGCGAAGTAAAAGGTAAGGGTACTGCTTTGACGGGTGCCAAAGAGCTGTGTTAGTGCGGCTTCGAAAGTAGGCTGACGCGTGATTTCTTTGACGGTTTGGTAGGTTGTTTTGAAGGATAGCGTGCCGTGCTTACCGTTAAATGACTTGTCCTGGAAAATGGGTAGGTTAGAAATTAGGTTATCTTTGTTGTGGAACTCGATCTCGAATTCCTTGAGGAACAGGGCGAGGAGATAATTCCTCGTAGCCAATATATCGAGGTTTGGGGGCACACAGCGTGTTGCAACAATCTCAGCTTCTGCAATAATATTGTCAATTGCAGGAGCACCATCAGGATTCAACACGTTGAGGTGAAAAGTCATGCCCGAAAGCGTATTGGGAAGACCTTTAGCTACCACTGGCTTCTGGCGTAAATCTTTGGATTTCGACCACGCATCTTGAATCCATACTCGTGCCCATTGACGCAACCATTTTTCCGGCACCGGGCTGATATTCGTTTCATGTGTATACGGAACCGACTGCAGCGCCTTCACAATCTGCTCCTGCGCTATCCTGTACGGTGCTTTTCCTTGAGGTCCGTCAAGGAAGACGAGTAAAACGCCAGACTTGACGATTTGCTTGCGGATTTCCTCATGTACTGCTAGCATGTCACTATCCGAGGCTCTAAGCCCTGCTTGAAATGCACCGGGGCGCGCATGGCGTAGTGAAATCGGGGCTGTTGTTTTGAACCAGGCTGACCGACCTGGTTCTGAATGTGGGGGGCCGCCATTGAGATTTTTAATCTCACCCTCCACCGTCTCTGGATTGGTTTCTAGCCTCTTGGTGGGATCTTCGGCAGGATCCAACATGTTTTGACCGATTAGTATAATCTTATTTGGGAATTCATATATATCGCTTGCACTATTGGTTTGTAATTTTTGACTTCCCAAAAACAGGAAACTTTCCATAGAGTCTTTTCACGGTTGAGTAAATTCGGCGTCAAAGAACGCTTTGTATAATACGAACCATGCTATACTCGCCGGATGCATCAAGAGCTTTGGTATAACAAAGAAAATCTACAACAAAAACTAGGCAATACAGATATGAAGACTAAGAAACCATATCCAGAAGCAGAGCATAGCAACAAGAGCCTGAGCTGAACAGCGAAATAGAACTACTCTCCTATAATACTTACCAGTCAAATTCAATATATTCACTTGAAGCCTGGTATAACAGACAAGGTCATCATGTCGTGAAAGAATACTTCCCTTTGTTCATTACTATTGATGAGAAAGGAAAGGAGAAGGACTAGACCCAAAACGGTTTATTATGTGATACAGCTAGTAGCTCCATTTTATGATAAATCGGCGATTCGTGAGCCAAATTAGTTCGATCAACAATACTAGCCCCACGGCTGAAGGTGGGTTGTATAATCCTTGAGCGTGAAGTAAACACCACACTAGTAAGACATTTTATCGACCATAGAAATTATTAATGCCAAGAAGAAATGCCAACTAGGCTAGGGTAGCATGTTCATTTAATTCTTCTCATCGACAGGGTATCTACTGGTTTTTCCCATTTATCCTCCAAATTCTGCAATTGTTGGCTTTGTGAGGAGACCCCAGCCCAACATAAGTGGCACAAAGTACAAAATCTTTTTTCCTCCACTCTAACAAAGCTCATTATATCGTGCCACTATCCTTCGTCATATTCTATACGTGCGAAAGAAGGTTTGTTTAGAAGACCGTGCCATCGGACAGGATGGCGATTGGCGGGCACTGCGTATTTGGTCTCGATATTTCGGCCATTTCTCTGCCTCCCTATTTGTCACATGTCAATATTCATTTGCGGAAATTGCTAGGAGAGGATTGCTTACCTTCCAACTGCCAGCCTCTAACATCTGCGGCAAGCTCAACTGATTGACATCCTGCAAGCCCAGCTTTTCATTCACCTTCTCGAGTAACAAGTCCAAAAAGCCCACAGTAACAGCCCGCCACTCAATAATCACATCATCATCTGGAGAGAACATGGGTACAACTTCCATATCAACTGTCCCCTCTTTTGCATTGTTTGCTCTGAATTGCTGAATCCCCCGCTTCTCTTCCTTGGGCTTTAGATTCAAGACACCAGTATCGATGAATAGTCCGCCGTTTCTGTACTCTGGGAGGCCGGTCATGAGCTCGGCACCTGCGAAGTGGATATTCATGAGCTTTGACATGGGTTGCATCAGGGAGTAGCAGAGCCATTGAGTGAGCTTGTGGAATGGCACGATTGTCTCCCAGGGCTGCGATGTTGGAGATGTGGGCATGGAGGAAAGCGGCCAAGCATCGCCGAGAGGAGTACCATCGATTGCTGTCCGGGAGGAGGGCCATATTGGTGCGAGGCCATCCATGAGGACCGACCAGAGGGTTGGGAGGACAATGATGGGGACGGAGGAGGCTTGGGTTGTGGGGTGAGAGATGAGATAGTCTGAATGCCGCGTTAGTGACAATTCGGAAGTTGAGAGCAAAAAATAGGCGTACCTAGCATGTTTCCAGGTCTACCATCAGCTCCGAAATAAGTATGGTTCTTCAATGCCTCGGAGAGCTTGATGAGAAGGTCTGTTCGACCATCTAATCCAGCAATTGGGTTTGAATCGGAAACTTGTAATCCACCTCTCATTACCCCCACTGTCAAAGTCTGCAATCCCTCGCTGTCCACTTGATGGGGCTGGCTCTTGTCGCTGCTGAAGGCGCCACTCTTGAACATTTCCAAGCTCGCAATGGCCAGGCCTTCACTTCGCTTGTAAACCTTGCCATTCTCAACGCTCTTGTACGACCACGATGTGCCAGCGCCTGCATCGAGTAGGACGGAGACGAGGAAGAGGTCAAGCAGTCTGCGGCATCGCTCGGATTGATCGACGTTCTTCGGCCAGGTCTTCAAGAGCTCTGCGATACGGTCTCGGCCACCGACATTGAAATGTTGCCATCGGCCATGTGGAGGGATGCTCGCATAATCGGGTGCAAAGTCGCGCTGTTGTTGGGGACCCCATGTTAAAACTGCTCAATCGATGGATGTCGCGAAATGAGGAGTAAATATTTATTTACCTTGATAATTGAAACGACGAATTTTGTTGTGGCATCGAACATGCTCATATCCACGTCAAAATGATTCAAGTTATTCTTCTGCGCCTTCTCCAGCATAACCGAGCATCTCTCTCGCACCGCGCCAATGCTTCGTAGATATCCCGCGGGGTCGACATGTGCATCAGGAGCCTTCGGCAGGGCAATCTTGGGGAAGGACATTCTGGTGGAGTATGCGGGCGTGATGGGGGATTTGAGGGAGCTTTGTGAAGATTGGGATTTAATGTCGCCTACGCTGGAGGCCTGGCGGGTGCTGCCAGATGCTACAGAGTTGGACTTGTCTTTGCGTGAGAAGATACCCATGTTGTGTTGTGGATCTTGCTGTTGCTGTCGTGGTGGGCGAAGTTATTGTATTGGCTGGCTGGCAGGCGATTGACGATTGGCGCAGAATGTTGATTAGCTGCACTGCACTGTTGGCTCGTAGAATAGGGAGCGACGGGGCTTATGGCAACGTCTCAGAGCAAGGAGATCAACGGTCCCATCAAGTCGGATGTGCTGTCAAGATGCTGTAGCTACCGGTAGACAAGAGGGGTGATGGCTGGTGCAGAATATCTATATGCTGTGTTCAGTTGTATCTACAGGTTCTAGCGCGGCAATGTTGTAACTAGTCGTGAAGAGTTAGAAGGAGGTAGGAGGTAGGAGGTAAGTAGGTAGAGGAGGTAGAGGTACAAGTAGGTACAAGTAGGTACAAGTAGGTACAGAATTCAATCAGAGGGACCTAGCTATAGACAAAGGTTGTGAATGCGCCGGTAAGGTCCTGGTGGTCTTAAGTAAGTAATATAATTAATTGCCAAGGTTCTTTGCCTACGGTAGGTAGTTATGATCTTAGGCTAGAGGGTAAGTGCACCCGGTGGAGCTCTAGCTCTCCAAAACCCTCCCTGCTACCTGCCACCTGAGTAATTATTTCACTCCACTTTCTCCAGTGATTGCGGCTGGCTGGCTGCCTCTTTGGTTGCATTGGTTGGACGGCCAGCTGCTTGGAACCTTCAACCTTCAACCTTCAACCTTCAACCTTGCGATGAACTGATGCACCACCCCCTAACCCCCGGATACCGTTCACTCCAACAAACCACTACGGTACAAGGTACTGGGTCTCGGACTGGCAATGGGTCTGGGACAGTGGGACCCCATCCCAATCCCATGCATGGCATGGACATTTGTTTGGATGCTGGACCCAAACTTGGGACCCGACTTACTTGACATCTTCAGGGATTGCTTCCAGAACCAGGGCCAGGGTACGACGGTACGGTAGCTCCTTTGACCTTTGACCACCCGGGAAGTTAATCGCCTGGCAATCGAAGTCCGGTTCCCCTGCGCACGCTCCCCTATCACCTATCACAATCACCCCTCGACAGCTTCGGGTCCAAAAGACTGTCTTCCGCGGCCCCGCCCGAAACTGTGGAATATCAGAATATAAATTTCAAGTCCCACCTCTCAACAGACGTCTGACTGGAATGGTCTAGGGATCAGCAGCTGCAGTGCTTTTACAGTAGACAGACGGCGATGGATGCGATGCCATGTCCCCATTGTTACGAAGTTTCGAGTATCATTGTACTATTGAACAAGGTTTGGCTGCACGGAGTCCAACGGGCAAACCCGATATGCAGGTACAGAATCACTCCACGCACAATCCTTGCCGATCATGGGTAGAGGACCTTCTGTTTACTGGGTGAGGCGAACGCGGCGCCGGCCAAGTCTGCCGTATGCCCTAGGTTGGGATTGGGGGCCTTGCGGAGTTCGCGGAATTAATGGTAAAGGAGTAGGCTGGTTGCAACTCTGCTATCGAGAGTATATGGGTGAAGTAGGTGAAAGAAGAGCTGTAAGCACTCGGCATCAAAACTTGCAGAAGGAAGAGGCAAAATGCCAAGGACCGGGAAGGAGCAAGGTGCGCTATTTGTTCTGCCGGTACTAGTATTGCTACTGTATTGAACGAGGCGGCAATCTATCCCTTCTCTGATCTTCACTAGTTACTATGCCTCTCTTCACGGTCCCCATACCGACACCGACCATGTATATTGGGCTGGAAGATCAGCCAGCCATGCGAGCATCCAGCTTCAAGCCATATCAAGCAAGCCCACGCCCGGCGTCCGAGTCATATAAGTTACAAAGTAGGTACAAAGTACTCATACTCTACTGAGGCTGGTGGATATGATGGAAATCTAGAAATTGAACATCCTCTTTTAAGTTAGAAAGGAGGCAGAGGAAGCTGGGTAGCTAGGAAGCTTAGGAGGAATACCTACCCAGCGCCAGCTCCTGTATGCGGTGGCTATATTGCATGATGGCAAATAACGCATTGGTTTGCTTCCATATCAACTAATATCATGGACACATCCATACCGGCAGATCCATTTGCTCGCCTGCCACTCTAGGTTCTCCAAGGCACGCAATATTATTCAACGGCAGTTGATATAAGATCCTCTAAGACTTTACCAGTTAGTGCATACTTCGAAGGGGTACATATGCCTCTCCAACCTATCGCATCATGCGAAAGACGTACGGTAGATAGTAACATGAGAGTTGACACGTGAAAAGGGGAAGGAATCGCTAAGACCGCGTGTTGGAGGGAGAGCCGCGCGCCAAAACTACAAAATATGGCAGAATACGGCAGCCGAATCGGGAGGACCGCGTCAAAATATATTGGCCAGCACAACGTCGAGGAGCAAGCACACGAGTTCAAGGAATCCTACAATCCAAACCCCCACGACGCCCAATGACTTTATGACACATTCCTCGATAACCAAATGTTCAAATCGATTATACCTGCCCTTTTACGATGGATGATTTAAACGGTCTGGAGTGGTCTGCCAGCTCCAGTTCAAATACCACCAAAGCACCTCCAGGCACGGGAAACTATTATCCCACCTTGCGGCCTACACCACCACCCCAGCTATCTGGACGAACTACTCCCCTTCCAAACCCAGCTTCGGGTGCCCCTAAATCGTCTGCATTTGTGGCTCCTAAATCTGTGACTCAAGACAGCTTCTCCAATCTCGTATCATTTGGCTCCTCCAAATCAAACACCTTATCGCTACAAGAACAACAGGCGAAACTGCTGGCAGACAAGAGGAAGCAAGATGAGGAGAAAAAGAGACAATATGAAGCACAATTTGGCAGCTCGCAAGCTTGGGATGGTTTGGGAAAGAGGAGTACAACTTCAACACCATCAATAACGTCGCAGAGCGCCACTCCAGCGACCATTCCCTTACCAACGAACTTTGCTCGACCTGCACCCCTAGCCAAAAGTGGGAGTAATTTTGCGAATAGCGCAGACGATGATCTATTTGCTGCCTTCAACGCGGATACGAAAGTCGACAATGCGAGCTTCTACCCACCTCCCTCTATACCTAGTAGCGGAACGAATACACCTGGTTTTGGGCGCAACACGGTTGATTTGAGTCAACCGCAGGCTTGGGAGCAGCCTTCTGGTTCTCTGGGGGGTGATACATTCGGAGATGATGATGACCCATTCGGATTAGGGCAAATGAAACCTCCCAAGCCTCCCCCGATAGCAACAACAGACGACGATGATTTTCTAGGCGATTTAGGGAAACCTGTAGAGGAAGTGAGGCGGCCCAGTCCCGCGATGAAAGAAGTTGCAGCCGAGCCGGAACCGCAAGTTGAATCTGATGATCCCTGGGATAAGGCTGTAGCAGAGCTCGTTGATATGGGGTTCTCAGCAGAGCAATCGCGGCGAGCTTTGACAGAAAGTGGATCTGGTCTTGATATCCAAGCTGCGGTGGGGTGGATTTTGAATGATGCCCATCGTCAGGCCAAACAAAAACAAGTGAGCAGAGATCCAAGTAGGAACAACGGGCCATCAAATGGAGACGTATCTCGAGATAGACCTAGGCGAGATAATAATCCAACGTGGATGCGCGAAGAGGGGCGCGATCGTTCACAACCGAGAAGAGAGGATAATCCATCACCAAACAGCGAAATGGATCTTTCTAAAACCGCCGCTGCTGTTGGCAGCAATTTATTTAAGACTGCAAATTCTCTATGGAAGACATCGCAGAAAAAGGTACAGAAAGCAGTTGCCGACTTTCAGCAAGATGGAGATCCTAGCCAACCAAAATGGATGCGTGAGGCAGCTGAGAGAGAACAAGAAGAGCGGAAAGCAACAGCAGAGGGACGACCTCGACGTGAGAAACCGGCCCCTGTTGATGCTACAGCTACAGATGAGGCTCTTATGCTGGAATCTGGTTCTCGTCTACCGCCAAGGAAAGCAAAAGCCCCTGAACCTCGCTTCCCGCCCTCGAGCTCCAGTTCATCACGTGATCACTCTCCTGCTCTTCCCTCAAGGCCTCCAGAGAGAGTAGTGGCGACACCTAGATGGCAACAGACGGCTTCTCCTGATCCACGTTCACGAATTAACAAACAAGCTGTAGAAGAGCAATCTGCCCAGGCCTATGTCAGTCCTGCACGGCGGAAGAAAACCACCCCACAACCATCACAACCAACGCCTGAGCCCGACCTGCTGTTCTCATCCGGTCCCTCATTACAGTCGAGACAAGCTCCATCTAGGCCAATACCACGCACAACACCTATCCCTTTCAAACCATCTACTCCAATTCAAACGCGCCCAAAAGCACCACCCCGCAACATCCCATCCGTATCTCCCACCGCACTAGCAAAGTCCCACGAGCACCGCCAAGCAGGCACCACGCACTTCAAACGTGGTGACTACGCTTCGGCCCACCAATCCTACAGTGCCTCCCTAATGTCCCTTCCCACTTCGCACCCCATAACCATAATCCTCCTCTGCAACCGGGCACTCACCTCCCTCAAAACCGGCATCCCGAAATCCGCCGTCTCAGATGCTGATACAGCACTCGCGCTCATCGGCCCCGCGCAAGGCCACTCCGAGGTCATTGATATAGGCAGCGAGAAAAAAGAAATGAGAGAGTTTTTCGGGAAAGCGCTCATGAGGAAAGCAGAGGCCCTAGAGCAGATGGAAAAGTGGAGGGATGCGGGCGAGGTGTGGAAGTTATGCGTGGAAAATGGCGTAGGTGGCAGTACAGCTATTCAAGGCCGTACAAGATGCGAGAAAGCCCTCGCTCCCAAACCCCCTAAACCCGCGACTCCAAAACCACAACCTCGTCCTCCGGCCAAATCCGCCATGCAAGATCTCAACACCAACACCAATAGCGCAGCCGTTGACCGTCTCCGCAAAGCGAATATCGACGCCGAAAAAGCCGACGACGAGAAATTCGCACTCGCCGATCAAGTCGAAGCCAAGATCTCCATGTGGCGAGATGGCAAGAGGGATAATCTGCGTGCGTTACTCGGGAGTCTGGATAATGTGATGTGGGAGGGTAGTGCGTGGAAGAAGGTGGGTATGCATGAGCTGGTGCAAAACAACAAGGTGAAAATTAATTACATGAAGGCCATTGGGAAGTGTCATCCAGATAAGGTATGTATTCTCCTTGTACGACTGGCGGGCGTAAGATAGGATAGGTGCTAATGAGATGTGATAGCTTCCACAAAATTCCACCATGGAAACGCAGATGCTTGCTGCGCTTATCTTCGCGACACTGAATGAGAGTTGGGATAAGTTTAAAGCGCAGAATGGCATGTAGATAGACAAATAGATCCTTATTGTATAGAAAGACAATTAAGATTTGTTATTGCTTAGCCAAAGGTCTCTTCGAACTATTCGGGCTGGCATGAGTAGTGCTCTGCATTTTGCACAGGTAGCAGAACAACTTGTATTTCCGTCAGAAGAAAACTTTGAACAGGTGCCCCTCCCGTCCTCTTGATCCAGGCCAAGCTCCATCCCATCATCATTTCATCTCCAACATGTATCACAGCGTGCAGTACATTGGATAACTACATCGGGAATATATGCCTCCTACATAGTAGATACTGTACTTGCGTGGATTGCTGGCTGCTTGCTGTGTTGTCTAGACAGACTCTTCGTGATTATGTCGAGTTTGAAAGCAGAAGATTATATGCTAGCTTGTCGTCATTAGTGGGAAGACTGTTTGTAAGTATCTGCGCACCACTATCCTTTCCACTATATTACTCCTGAAACGACAACGCTCTTTTCACAGCGATATTTCGAGCAACATCTTGTTGCGAACTGATAGACACTGAATAAAGCTTCTACTAGGCCCATAAAAGTTCGAATAAGGAGATACAGCTTTGCAAGCGACGTGTATACAGCAACTCTTATAATTTTGCACTTTCGAAGTCATTAAATCGAATTGCCAAAGCTTCATGGACAAGACAAGCTCAAGGACGGTTTAATATCTGCCGTTGGTATAATGAAAATGAATGATCAAGCCAAGTGGATGGAATGTCTGTGTTTGTACGTAAGCCAACCACACGCTGATATCGATTGATTCCGACTATTACGAAGTAAAAGAAATAAAAGACATTAAAATATATATAGCTATTTGCGAGGTGAAAGAATTCAAGCATGGCCAGACCTAAGCCATGGGCGTGGCAGGTCTCCGTTGGCGCTTTAAGGATATGTCAATGCCGCCCTAACCCGATTTTCCCCCGCCTTTTTCTCAGCTTCAGCTAAAGCTCCCGTTTGCCTCGAACTCTGAACAGCGCCCACCAACAGCACCATCACCCCCAACATGGATAACTTGAACAACCTCTCCATTCAAGATGAGCCGGTAGCCTCACCAGCTTCCGAGCCCCGCAAGCAGAAGAAGAAAAAGGTCCTGTTAATGGGCAAATCAGGCTCCGGCAAGAGCTCCATGCGCAGCATTATCTTCAGCAACTACGTCGCAAAGGACACCAGACGGTTAGGAGCTACAATTGATGTTGATCTGAGCCATGTCAAGTTTCTGGGCAACCTGACGCTCAATTTATGGGACTGCGGTGGGTCAGTACAGCCTTCTCGTTACTCTCAATCTGCGCAGCTTGGAGCTCCGAAGCAGCCTTCTCGCGGATCTGCCAATGTCTACTTGCGAAGCTAACACGTCTAAAGACAAGATGCCTTCATGGAAAACTACCTAAATCAACAACGGCAGCATGTCTTTTCGAATGTCGGGGTCCTTATTTATGTCTTCGATATCGAATCGCGCGATTTCGACCGAGATCTCCTTACTTACCGCTCTATCGTTCAAGCCCTCGCCCAATTCTCCCCTACAGCCAGCGTATACCTCCTGATACATAAGATGGATCTTATCCCCCCAGTGCAGAGAGAAGATTTGTACAATCACCGTGTCTCCATCGTCCGATCCAAGTCCGCTACCTTCGACCCGACTCCGTTTGCAACCTCGATTTGGGATCAATCCCTCTACAAAGCCTGGGCGGAAATAATCCACGATCTAGTCCCGAACCTTGATCAAATTGAGAAACACCTGGGTAGCTTAGGAAAGATGATAATGGCAGAAGAAGTCCTCCTATTCGAGCGTTCCTCCTTCCTCGTCGTCTCTAGCTGGTGCTCCAAAGAAATATTCACGGGCGACAAAGACAACCCCGCACAAAACCCCACCTACGATCGAAACGAGCGCCTTTCGAACATCATCAAGAATTTCAAGCAGAGCACAAGCAGATATACAGGTACGCCTAAGAGCGCGGAACAGTTTAGCGTTTTTGAACTGAAGATGCCAAATTTCTGCATGTTCATTGTCAAATTTACTACAAATACATACTTGGGCGTTGTGCTTCCACCTGGGGAGGAAAGATTTAACGCCGCGATGGAGAACTGCTATATTGCGAGGAAGGAATTCGAGGATCTGGACTCGCCGGCGAAGAAGAGTGCCGATAGGGGCGCAACTTCTGAGTCCCTTGAGACCGCGTAGGTTTCTCGGATGCTCATGTGGTTTTGGTGGTTGTAGCATGTGCGTAGATAGGCGGTTATTGGCGTATATGTTTGAACTGATTTGGATGTTCACGGCGTTGGTCACAAAAAGGGATATACCCAGGCGCAAATGAGAAGTTCGAAAATATATTAATGTATCTTCTGACAGTTCATGAACACTTTTCGTCCAAGTGGTTCCATCCTCCACGCGTTAACCTACTCTACAGGTTTATGTTATGTTTTTCATTATCCGCAGCCCATCGTTAAGCCATGTCTCGAACCATGAGGTACCATGTACCCATGCTTCAACAACCCCCAAACCTACAAATGTTAGAGCGCAGCAACACTCGTGACATTCGAATCTGCTACGTGGCACTTTTTATATTTGGATATATTTCCATGACCTCCACCAGGTGAAACCAACATCCCTGCTCGAAGTGGTGTTCACCGTGATAGGCAAGAACGGAAAAGAAGGTTCTCGAGAAAGTGATAAATATAGGCCGTACACGTTGAAGAGTCGAAAATCTAGCGCCAAATTTGGAGTGGATGGGGACTTTATACCAGATTCCGTTCAAAATTCGACCCTGCACATCCATTCCAAACACCTGGCGAACGAGCTGCGCAGAATTGTGCAGTACTACCCTAGTCAGAATCTGAACGGTGACACGATACTAATCGCATATCCGCATCCAATGCTCATGCACTTCATTTCAGAGCTAAATGATGCCAAAATCGCGTACGAAACAGATGGTCTGTCGGGATTGATCGACGAAGCAGTTAAATTAGAGACAAAGAGAAGGCCCATGTTCTTGGCGTTCTGCTGAGTTATCTTCGCCCAATCTATGCCAAAGAAGTAGAGGCTGGAGCAGCAAAACAACAGTTGGCTATACCGATGATTACGTATTCGATGCTCTGGTTTCTATTCAAACCGGGGACAGATGTATACATCAAGGTCGGTCTCAAGTGGAGAGTTTTCGTGGTCATGTCTGTGGAAGAGAGAAAAGAGAAAGAGAGTTAAAGACCCCAATTCTATTTCCCCAGGCCACAGGGACCAAAAGTTGATAAGTGGCATATCAAGGTTTGGTCCTTGATATTTGACGACAAGAGACTTTTTCGCCGGGGCCGGAGATTCCACATCGACAAGTTTTTTGGTGAGCGAGAAATAAGTGCTCTGAGTATAGTTCCTTGCGAGATTTACGACAAACTATATGGCACTGGAAGGCGGCAAGAATTGGAAAAACGAGGGGAAATGGTTTACAATTTGCACAAGACTCTTCCGATGCACTTAAATTACAACGGGATTGCAGTCGCCAAGCTAGAGAAAACACAACCATGGCAGGAACCTTCAAAATGGATCTTTGATGTAGCTGCCGTCCCCATCTCTGATTTAACTGCTGGCATCTAACGTATATTGATATAGTATGAAGGGGATGTTGTACTTGATCCGGCGTCATATAAGAAGCACGGCCTGCTCGCCAAGATGAATTCGATTATTATGGGCGGAAAGCATCAAAGCACATTCCGGAGGACGATGAAGATACTGACGCTGAAAACGAAGAGCAAGGGTGCCAACAGGGAGAGCCTGAGCCTTTTGGTGGAGGGCCTCTTTGGGAAAATTACAATGACATAGAGCCAGCGAAGAGACAGGAACTGACGAAGCATCAGCTACTGCTACTTGCTGCAGACATTCGCGGGTTTTCTCTCAAGACTAAGTTATGGATGGCATTCGACGCAAGTAAACTTCAGACTATCAAGTATCCCCCAAAAGGCGAAGGTGCAATAGAGAATTTGATTCTCGAGAAGACAGATGTTGCGTATCTCAAAGCACTGTCCACGAAAACTACCTAGTCACAATCACATGTGGATTTCATCAAAGGAAAAGGGGAGGGCCAAATATTCCTCTTTCATGGCAAGTACCAGTTGATTAGGTTACTAAGGCTTGCGCTAATCTGTAGCAAGGCCCTCCTGGAACCGGAAAGACTTATACTGTCGGTAAGCTTGTAATGTGCCTCTTGATACGATGCACGATTCTGACACGAACTCTAGAGGCAATTGCTCAATACGCCAGTAGGCCTCTTTTGTCACTCACAGTCGCTGATCTAGGTCTGCAAGAAGAAAGGCTAGAAGCACAAATGACAAAATGGTTCGAGGTCGCCACGCATTGGGGTGCAGTTCTTCTGATTGACGAGGCCGATGTGTTTCTCGAGAAACGTAAAAGTTCTGAAGCCAGTCGAAACAGCTTAGTTTCCCGTAAGTCTGGACAGATATATAGGTTTGTCGGATTACTATGACTGACAAACTTCAGTGTTCCTTCGCAGCATGGAATACTACGGTGGCCTTCTTTTTCTAGTAGGTCTACATGCCAAAGTTAAAGACTTGATTGAGGATTTCTGACACATTTCTTACAGACAACTAACCGTCCTGGCGCCATAGACGACGCGTTCCGTAGTCGTATCCACAGCGCCATCCACTTCCCAAACTTTAGCAAGGCAAGATCTGGACATCTATGGGAGATATTCTTAGAAAAGGTCAAGAAGGAAAACTCAGAAATCAGAATAGCGCTCAAAGCGCAAAGATTCCTCAGTACCGATAAGACAGTGCGGAAGATGAAGTGGAGTGGAAGAGAGATTAGAAATGGTACGTCAAAGATTCCTTTGGTTTGTTCCAGCAGCTGAGCAGAGCCATCCTAAAAGCAGTTGCTAACTTTTCCGAAGCCTTTAGTCTTGCTCTCACACTCGCTCGGTATGATCACGAGACAAAGAAGAACAGCGAAGGCGGTGACGATGACGATGACGATGTGATCGAAGTGCTGAGCGAGCACTTTGAGAATGTGGTGGTTCGGCGTGATGAGTTTATCCAATATATTGATAGTATACGGGATTTGGGGGAGGACGAGCGGGCTTATGAAGTTGGGGACAGGAGGGATGCAATTCTTGACTCAGATACTGACTAAGGATATTCAGACGAGGAGGAATATTACGAGGCTTTCATACATTTCATTGATTAACACACCTTCAAAGTTATTTAGCCATATACCCTATCAATAGTCTCATATGGAATTGGAAGAGAGAAAATTACATACAGACAAATGCATTGAGATTGAAATCTAGCCGAAGTACTAAATGGCCAACTGAATAGACATATAAAGGAAGACCTTACATCTGAGGTGGGATTTTAATAAACTCTACAGCTCTCCTAATGATCTTTGCAAACCTGCATGCATCGGCAAGACAACTAACTACCTATACCTTGGGTAGCTGCCTGATCAAGCAAATCACGTGTTGTGGCTATGAGCGGCTATGAATGCCTGCAGATGCGTCATGCACGCACAGCCGCCTTTGCTGGTAAAGCCTATATTATTTCACCCTCTTCCGAGTCTCATCTGCTAGGAATATCTCTCAACTTTCGTAACTTCAACTCACTCACCTGGACCAGAAAGTAATGTCATTCGGCTGGTCTGCTGGCGATATTGCGACAGCAATATCAGTCATCGTGAAGATATGCAAAGCCCTCGACGACACTTTCGGCGCATCCAGCGAATACAGAGATATCACGCTATTCCTAGGCAACCTGAAATGCACGCTTGACAAGCTATACTGGAAGGTGCGGTTCAGCTGAAAGAACAGGTTGATATATTGAGAACGAGAGTGGAGGATTTCTTGGATATGATAGAGAAGAAGTATGGGTTGAATCTTGGCAAAGGTTCGACGCGGCGGTTTAGGGCGGTTGCGGGGAAGTTAGAATGGGCGGCTGTTACTTCGACGAAAGCTAAGGAGTTGAGGTGTAGTATTGAAAGTAATATGCGGGCGATAGATCGGCTTATACAATTGTAAGTCTGCTTTCGATTGATTTCCCAGAACCGCATCTGAATGAACTACAACTGATGTTTGCTAGCGAGATATACGCAAGTGTGCAAACCAAGATCCCATCGCAACTGGAGGCAGGTTTTTCCGGCGTCCAAGTGCACGTGGACAAAAGCATCCAGCCGCTTCATGCAGATGTCGGGCATATATTGTCTATAATGCAAGAGCAGAACCCGCTTATAGCCAAGGCGCTGATGACAATGCAAGCTGCGATACAAAGTCAGAGTCAGAGTCGAGCAACTAGTCCACAACCACCAGCCTATTCGCCTATCCCTCCTCCACGGACCGTAACACCACCTCCGTCGCTCCTAGTTGCTACGATATTGGACTGCTACAAGATGCTGGTTTCGAAAAACTCATGCTCCGGGCTTGAGTTTACACATGGCCAGCAGGAAGTCTGTTCCATAATCAACGCCGCAGTTGAAAGTCTCGGGGCATGGCTGAAGTCGACAGATCCTAGGATTGGATGGATCAAGGAAGCACCCAGTACGAGGAAATGCCTCTCAGTTGCCGCTGGACTTATGGCAGCCGGCAAATACTCGAAGGTCCAGACTATCGGCTACTCGATACTCAAAGGGGAAGCATGGCTAGACGACGTCGAGACGCCGAGACGAATCATGGCCAAAATTATTTCATCCCTAGTACACCAGCTTATGGAAAAGCTCCCTGCGTTAACCAAGTCGAGGATTGGCCGAGAACGTGATAGTCCTCTTGTCAAAGCCCGACTTTCTGTCCTGGGTCAGCAGAATTTGAAAGTTATTAGGGCAAGTTTGTTGATAGTAGGCGATTTGGTAGAGCTGATCACTGATCCATTTCTTGTCATCTTGGACTCCTTCGAACGGTATCATCTAGTCAAGGACAAGATGCTTCGGGATAAGATGCAACAGCTTGTCGATACTTTTAGGGGGAATAGCATGGCCAGAGTTTTTCTTTCGGCTGTGGATCGGAGTCATGTAAATGGAGTAGCAGGTGACCAGAAGTTTGTTGAAAGTTCAACAAAGGAAGAGCGTCGCTGCGTCTTGGTTAATCCTACATTGGTGGAGATGCTTGAATTTATGGAAATACCCGTGGAGTAATAGGTCCGTCTCGACTGGCATGTATTTATGTTGGAATGGGCTATATATTGATCGATCTGACGTTATCATTTAAGATAAAAAGTCATGTTGGCTTGGCTGTTTATATCTGTATGGACTGTTTTTGGCGAGAGGGAATATTAATTGGCGTTCCTTTTGTATATATTATCATCTCATTTCGGGGTTTCCACAGCGCTTATTCAAAGAGACCATGAACAGATACATATAATTTACACACTTGAATCTTCATTTCTCATTACTCATCTGGCCCAGTGAGCTCCATATTAGACGATGAAATGATTCGTCCGCTAAGATCAGGCGGAGACTGAAAGTCCCGGTCGAAGGGAAACATAGGATGACGGATTCTATGGTGTCCAAGTCTCTCGATATCCTGGTCTACCCCTCCAGGAGTCAGACCGAGCATCCACCCTTTTGCCATATCATAGAGCTCCGGCTCCAAGTAGCCAATTTTGACAATCACGATATCCGCGGAGCGGGGCTTCAAGTTGAGATCTGTGAAGTCGTGCTCATGATGGTATGGCTTTGGATTCTGCGTGAGAATTGCAAATACGCTGCCAATTTGCAACACAACTTCAACGATGGCATATTTATCACCGCTCCTGATTGAGTGAACTCGCCCCGTCATAGTAAGCGGGCCAGAGTGTATATGGTCAACTTCAGCCCCAGCCGTAACTGTCACTGTGGCTCCAACGCCCGCTTCCATGGCAGCGTGTATGGCGTCTCGACCAGGAACACTTGCGTAGATAACGGTGGGGCCAGACGCTTCTTTGAATTCCGGACGAGCGAGCAGTTGTGTTAGGCCCCATGAGACATCACCAGAGCCTCCTGCTGTTGGGTTATCGCCTGAGTCGGAAATAAAATATGGGCGGGATTCTGCACCAGATGCTAGCGCTGCATCGAGGCATTCTGAGAAAGAGCCAGTCGGTGCAACGAATTTGAAGTCTTGGTGAGCATCCCAAAATATCTGTGCCAGCCGCTCTGCACCCTTAGATACCGCAGTCCTATCCCATCCAGTGACCACCACAGCGGCTCGATTACGAGGTTCATCAGCCCAGGCATATCCCACCCAAATGGCAGCGTCCGTAACGCCCTCTATAGCCTCAACGTGGGGAACTGCATCATATATATGCTTTGCAGGCTCGAGACGGGTTGAGGTCTGCTCTCCCGGAAGAAGCACCGGCACAGGGACCCATGCTTTGATAGGCCGCCGGTTTTCCAATGCGTCAGATTTGGTCAAGAGGTCGACGAGATTGCGACAGGCTCGCTCTCTGGTTTCAAGCACATCGACATGCGGCGCTGTACGGTAGCAGGTGATGAGATCTGTTTGATGCGCAAGCTCTCTGGACACATTTCCGTGGAGATCCATCGACGCAGATACAAGAACGTCTTGTCCGATCACTTTGCGTATGCGATGGAGAAGCTCGGCTTCAACATCATCAAGCCCTTCCACAACCATGGCGCCGTGTATATCATACCAAAGCCCGCTTTAAAAATAGAAAGTTAGCCTCCATTCGCTGAACGTGGTTTTTCAAAAGTGCATGTTCATCTGTTAGAATGAATAGTCACACTTTTCCACTCAAGTAAAGAACTTGTACGGTTTTGACTGGAAGTCTGAGGTCAATGAGAGAACACACTCTCTCAATCACTTACTCAAGAGGACCCGCCGCACAAATTCTAGAAAGTCGGTCGATGATCTCGCCCGCAAGTTCTTCAAATGAAGCTCGTCTTACCACCCCACCAGGCATTGCATGGCCTATCAAAGCACCTTCCCATTGTGCCGCTTTACCCAACAAGGTGGCGGGGCGGATAAATGCATATTTATCAAATATCTCATCGCCTCTCAGTGGATGGAAAGCCTGGGCCAGCGTTCGGGAGGGGGTAAATGTTGAAGTCTCGCAGGCTAGCCCTGCTACTGCAATAATGGGCCGCCGTGACATAGTAAAATATGCAAGACCTCTTACAAACAGATTCCGGGTGCTAATTTTGAATTTATGTGAATCGATGTCCGTACTTGGCATAGAGCTTATCTTGACTTCAAGAGGGGCTGGCGCCCCTAGAACTGCTAGAACCGCTAGAACCGCTAGCAGTTCGTCCCGTCCCCTCACTGGGGAAAGGTACGGGGGTAAACCCCACCTTTGGTATCTATCAAGCTTTACCGATCTGCATGCGGATGCAACGTTCATGATAGATAATCGTGTCACTTCCAATATATAATCTTATAACTTCCCTTATCAGTAAGCTCAAAAGGTTAGTGTGAAGAGTCGTCTTCTAATCACTCACTACTTTTATTTAGTAGATCTTGCCACGTTCTGTTTTGTCTTTCTGGATATATTTCACTACTTGAAGAAAGTGATTAACATGTTAACAAAGGCCCAAACAGGGACATGGATGCCCGCATGGGTTCCAGAGTCAACAATCATACTCTCTTTCTTGCTCATGATCTGTGCTGCTGTCCAATCATCTGTAAGTACTATACCCAGTCCTCGCCAATTCTCGAACCAACTTTTATTAGACAAATGGATATGATGGATCAATGTTGAACGGACTCAATATCTTGCCTTCATACACTGACTATTTCAACCTCAATGCTGCAACGACCGGACTCAACACGGCATCTGTGTTTATCGGTGGCATTCTTGGTCCTCTGGTCTCAGGCGTCGTATCAGATCGGCTTGGTCGTCGGCCGGCCATCTTCTGGGGATCTCTTATTACTTTGCTTGGGGTACTGCTTCAGACGGCTGCTCAGAATATAGCCATGTTTGTCGTGGCCCGTATCATTCTAGGTTTCGGAACTGCCTTGTCGGGTATTGCAGGTGGGGTGTATCTTTCCGAGACCTTTCCCAGCCGGTGGCGAGCTTGGGGTGTTGGTCTCCTCAATGACTTCTACTAGTGAGTTCAAAAGTAAGAGTTTGAAAGGGGTAAAGACTTATTATAATGGCAGTGTTGGTGCTCTTATTGCGGCAGGCATCACGCTTGGTACAGGCGAGTGGCAATCGACTTGGGCCTGGAGGCTGCCTTCACTCTTCCAAGGTATCTTCTCGGTGATTTGCATCCTTATCCTACCATTCATGTAAGCCCCATTATTCTTACATGCTTACCATCTATTGTTTTCAAAGTAGCTAATCAAATAGCCCTGAATCCCCTCGTTGGCTTGTGCACGAGGGCCATTTCGAAGAGGCTCGCGTTGTAGTTGCGCAGACTAACTCGAATGGTAATATATCTGATCCCGTTTCTGTTGCAGTTTACAAGGAGATTATCGATACGCTTGAATGGGAAAAACAAGAGGGCCGCACTATGAGTCCAAAAGAAATCATCAAGACTCCTGTGGCGAGGAAGCGCTTGCTCATTGGAATGTCAGCTGGTCCTTTCTCGTGCATTGCGGGAAATATTATCGCTTCCTATTATCTCGGAGCAGAACTTGATTCTGCAGGTATAACAGACAGCCTCGATCAATTGAAAGCGGTATGTTACTTCAAAACCAACGCTTCGGAGCGAGCGACTACTAACAGTTTAGAACGTTGTACTGAATGTTTGGTGTTTGGGTTGTTGCCTTGCTGGCACACATTTGCTAGCAAAATGGGGTCGCAAGCCTACTGCCATCCTCTCTCAATGTTTGCTTGTCGTCTGTCTGTTCATCATCGGAGGACTCTCCAAGAAATACGCCGACAATCCGGACGGTGCTTCCCAAAGCCTTGTTTACGGCGACGTAGCGGTGATGTTCCTCTTCCAGGGGTTTTACTCCATTGCGTGGACACCATTGCTCTTCCTGTATCCACCTGAGGTGATGAACTATTCGATCCGTGCCAATGGACTAGCATTCTCACAGTTTTCTTTAAATGCTTTAGCGTATGTTTTCAGTCTCACTTCTAGCCCCCTAGAAAGCGTTTGCCCTGAATTTAACGTTCCGTAGACTTGTCTTCGTGTTCATCATGCCAATTGGCTTGGCGAATATTGGCTGGAAGATGTACATGGTCAACGCATCCTGGGATATTGTCATTGTGGGCCTCATTGTAAGCTTTCCCTGCTCCACCATACCTCCCTTGCTGATCCTATTTGAAGGCCTTCTTCTGGATCGAGACAAAAGGCAAAACGCTTGAGGAAATTGACGCGATTTTCGAGGGAGAAAAGCACTCTTCTGTACCAGACATAGAGGAAGTGCGTTTAGGGAAAGCGAAGATTGATGTTGGGGCAATTAATGTTCAGGTTCAGGAGAAGATGACTCTTAGCTGAAGGGACTTTAATAATGAAAAGGCCGATTCAGGCGAAAGAAGAGCTACTAGGTCTATGAAGCAAACATTCTGATAGCCTTTCGAAACCTATCCGTTCCCAATCTACTCATTGCGAATAAAAGGAAAATAAATGTATGCGAAACGGATTATTATCCATAGGCGAGGCGAAAGCTGACCCCTTTTATATCTTGCTCATCTCTCGATCAGCCTTTGTTATTGATTGGATCCTAGTACTGCTGTTGTGCGAAACCCTTCTTGGAGTTCAACAGTACTCCCCTGTTCTTGTCCTTCTGAGACAGCTTCATCAGGCTCGTAGTGCCAGCTTGGCATGAATCCCAGTCGTCATTATCGCAGTAAATACGGATATCAACTTGAGCGTGATTGCTGGTGGATGACATGCTCTTCATAGTGTTGAGTCCAGCTATATCCGAATTAACGCTTGCAGTTTCCAAATAATTGGTCATCTTCACGTACTGACTCACAATATAGTACGATTATATGCATCTTTGAGTACTGTACAGCGGCTGCACCTTGGCGCCAAGTTTATTGCTTGGCTAATTAGACGTTGGGTGTTTGGGACTTGGGCAAACAAAGTAAGTAAAAGTTCTTGTTGACGGTTCAGACTTCATGACGCCTGAAGATCTGGAAATGACTGGAAAAAAGAAGTACAGAACCAGTAACGGGTTGCCCACTTGCTAGATGCAGCTGCGGTAAGACGGATGTGTTGGAGAGTACGTAGTTTGATAAGATATGGTGGAAGAGAGGTACTGTGCTGTATGAGATTGATTGCTGACAAGATCTTGGCATGCGCCCCTCTCTCGTGATCGCCGCGCTAACCCTCGACATAGGGCTGTCTCGATTCTCTAGGCCCCAGGGACTTGCTCTTTCAAGTGCCGTTTCATTTGAGACAGTATTGGCCTTAGAACCCGCGGTCTCAAATTGAGTGATGTTGTGCATTTTCACGCAAAGTAAACGACACGATAAAAGTACCGAGTACAGGTTAGATGGATATCAATCTGGGAGGTGGAGACCTAGCTCCAAGCTTCGCCTGCCAGGGACACAGATACAACGACAGGCTCGGTCACACAGAGCGTTGGCTGGAGGTGCAGCACTTCCGCCAGTATTCGATGATATCTGTCTTATTCTGAGGCACTTGGCGCCGCGGCAGCAACTTGCCCAGTGCGGTAAGAATGCCTCTATCGCGAAGACAACGGGTAGGGTGCCGCATACAAACGAGTCCGACTCCTCCGTAGTGATACTGTCTCAGAATTCCGTATCGTCCAAAGCTCGAGGAGCACGCAGCAAGGATATGACCTCCGTCTGCCTTCCCCTCCAATTTCAAGGCCAGGTACAGTATTTGCCAACCCTGCAGCCCTCCGCTTTTTGCATTCTCTAGATGACAGAGGAAGGTTGCTGGTGCCACTCATAGCACAGCTCTGACTCCAACTATGGAGCCCCCAATCACTTGTATATTCTCTCATTTGTGCGTCCGTTTATGACCTCTCCTCCACTCTGTATTCCCTATTGTGGGATTCATCCTTTGTTTCCTTTCTCTTGACCATTTTCGCCATCTCCACGTTTGTGGCCTGCCCTTCGTTTCTTGCATATACGCATACGCTCTTTTTCGACACTTCGTGGCAAGTCCGCGATACTTTTCATTTCTTTTGGGTTACATTTTTGCGCAATTTATTTCACGGAAGAAAGGCTGGGCGCGATAATAAAAAGAAGAAAGCCATCTCTATCCCCTGGCAACAGAGTTAAATAGATCAAACGGAAGGGCAACAAGAGATTGAGGTTGAGATTAAGAAAACATCGGAGAAGTAGGGCGAAAAGCAGCTAGGAATTGGAACTTGGAACTTGCCGTGGGAAATCAGGAGCGGAGTTATCGCATTTGCCTCAAACAAGAGGAATTCTCGGGCGAAAGAAGTGCTGCTAATCAACTGGCACCTGGCTCCACATTCACATTGAAGTTGTGTGAATAGCTTCGAATAGGCCGAACGAGACCGCTTTCAGAGGCAAATCACAGCAGGTCAAAATATATCCGTCGCTCAACATTCGCTTCCCTCTCAACTACCAACATCCAAACAACATCGTGAACCACTCACCCAATACAGTCCTTACGTCTGCACGCTTTCAATTGCTGAGAATTGTTATCTAGACGGCAATCTGGGGTTTCTCTCTCGCCCGCAATAGCTCTTCCAGCATCAGTTTCCCTTTCGCACTCGCTATGCGGTCTTCAACTCTCGCCTTGAAGGCGACTACCCTTCTACTCTTTGCTGCTTATGCCAATGCCTTTTGGCGCATGCCGTGTGTTGTCTCTGGTCTTGCGCGAATTGATCCTCTCAAATACTACGGAACTATCTCTGAGCATATGCATGCCATCCATGGCTCCTCCGGTGAGTCGTCCTATTCCTCATAAGATCTCCAAATTCTATAGAATTACTGTAGTCTCTGTTTCTAACTCTTCATCTAGGCTTCTCAGACTCAGCAGGTACAACGGAACTCCTGGCTGGGGAATGTACATCGTGTCAGGTTACCCAAGACAAGTCGGCATATTGGACCCCAGCTCTATACTTCCAGAATTCGGCCACCAGCGAGTTCTCTCTAGTCAATCAAGTTGGAGGCATGCTTGCGTACGTTTTCCATTGTCAAGTTCACGAGCACGTGAACCTCCCTCTCTACCATGCAATCTCATGAGCTATATCTTCTTGCGAATATTGCATCAGCCGGATTATCAATCCGGTTCGAGAGCATCCATGAGAACTACTTACTGACAGTCACTTAGGTATTATCTACTTCGCCCAAATGCCGGATCGCCCAACGTCACTGCCTTTCCACACGGATTCGAGATGATCGCTGGCGACACCAATCAACGCGAGTTCAACTACCCTGTTCCAGATGTCGACAAATCCAACTGGAATGTCGAGCCTTACAATACTCAAGAGTTCAAACGTCAAGCCGCCCTTGGATTCAACTGCCTCGACTACACCAACCCTGCCGCAACAGAAGGCTCTCTATATCGCCATTCCCTACCAGACAAGGCATATCTTGATGCCCACTGCAAGAGCGGTGTTCGATTTGAACTCATGTTCCCCAGTTGCTGGAATGGCAAGTCCACACCAGACGACAAGAAGAGCCATATGGCATACCCGAGTTTGGTAGGGGAAGGTGACTGTCCACCGGATTTTCCTATTCGCCTCAATACGCTGTTCTTCGAGACAATTTGGGATACTCATGCCTTTGCCGGAACCGATGGGCAATTCGTTATCGCAAATGGTGACCCTACTGGTAATATACTCTCCTTTGTGGACTAGCTATTGATCTAACATCCCGTAGGCAACGGCTACCACGGCGACTTCATCATGGGCTGGGACGAGCAGTTCCTCCAAGACGCCTCGAACCAATGCACCGACCTTTCAGGCAAAATCGAAGACTGCCCTCTCTTCACCATCCAGCCGTTAGGAGATTCCACGGCGTGTAATATTGCAGAATCCAACATCCCCGCCCCAATCGCCAAGGAACTCGCTGTTGGTGGTGCCACCACTTTACCCGGCAACCCACCCATCGTATACACGGGATATGCGTCAGACGGAGTAGCAGCCGCACCTTCCAGTTCCTCAGCCCCAGCTCCCGTCTCTAGTGCTCCCGCAGCCAGCACGTCGACGTCGAGTGAGCAGCCCAGTAGCAGTGTGGCAAGTGATACTCAACAAGCACCCTCTGCTCCATCCGCTGCAACGAGCAGTGTCGATCCATCTCAAAGCGCTACCGAAGCCAGCAGTACCATCGCCACAACATCACCCTCTCCAGCAGTCACCCCTGCGCCAGCAATGCAGAGTTCAGTTTCGACCCAAACCTACTTCAGCACAGAATACCAGACCAAAGGACAAGATGTCGTGGAGGTATTATGGGTAGAAGATGTAGTTACCGTGACGGCGACGGCGTTATCGGCGCGTAAGAGACATTTGCACAAGCATCGCCGAGGTGTGTTGTAGGTCTTTCTCTATAAAGAAATAACTGGCGTGAACGCACATTTGCTGGATGGGCGTCAGGGCTTGCTTGCATTTCATAGCATTTGGGCATGTAGTGATTGGTGAGAGGGGGTGTGGATAGCTGGACCTGTCCATATTGCCCGTTCTCATCATTGGCTGCTAAAATATCGATCTCGGACTCTTTGAGACATTTATTTTCCCCTTTTGCATATAAGAATAATTAAGCGTTAGACATAAAGACTTAGACCATACTATACGATGAAAGGAATTGTAGCGCCTGAAAATCCGAGTTGGAACAACTAGACTTGACAGTTTCGGGAATTCCAGCACATATATCTTTCATCCTTGATGTCTACGCTAGCACAAACAGCATTTGCAACAGAGTAAACAACAGTTTAACAGCAAGTGTCGCTGTCAAACAGTGTTTATGAATGACTATACTTAGCTAACTTGTCAAACTTGCGCAAACTGTTGATAATAAACTCCGGCCCTCCATACTATCCGACCAAACCACCACACCAAACCCAACTACTTAATCCAAAATCAGCTAAGCGCCAGCCATGAAGGCAGTAAAGCGGATCCTCAAGCTAATTACCACACCTGTTCTTAATTGCGAAGTCTATAGTGATTCGCCGCCCCTAGACTGCTTGCAACTAGAGTCCCTGCCACAGTTATTGCCAGCATCCCAAATACCAGACTCTGGCAAAAGTACTACTAAAAGCCAGATGACATTCCTAATTACGGAAAAGGTAAGACCGAGAAAGGCGGTGAAAACGACGAGGCCAGTCATATTTTACTTCAGTGGACTTCCGGTGAAGCAGAGAACTAGGACTACGGGGCCAGTGAAGACTGAGGTACTCAAGAAGAACCTGAAAGTTAGGTCAAAGGGGAAAACTAAGCCAAAGAGGGAAGTCAGAACCAAGGACGTCGTTGAGGTTAAGACGACGGGCCGTGGTAGAGTCACAATTGTCCGCAAGTGTCCTGTCTGTGACTGCGATTGCCGACATTGTGATTGCTGGCCAGTGCTATTAGGTTCAGCAATGGCATTCTCCAGGTGATGCAGTTTAGTCAAAGGATATGTACTATAGCAGACCGGAATCTTACCAAATGGGTAAACGTTTTTTTACGTCCGAGAAAGGTCCTAGGATGTTTGACTTTATGAGAGGGTAGGAGTTTGACATCCAAAATACAAGTTCTTTTTCTTAGTCTAAAAGTCTAAATGATTGAAATTACATGTGAGTAAGAAGTGATTAATATAAATTATGACTATAGCACTCCTAGTAGATTTTTAAAAGCCAGTTTGGTTTTCTTCTTATAAGTCTTCATATATATATATTATTTTATACTCTTGATAATAACTTAATAATATTTTACTACTAATATTTCCATTTGCTTTAAAATAATATATGTATTAACATAAACAAGTGTTATACACGAAAGTAATTTTAGGAGTTAATAATAGCAGAAGTAATAAGTATTATAAGTTAAACAAAAGGCTATAATAGGAAGTCATTCTCTACTTATACTATAATAATAAGAATCCTTAGCGTTTTTATCACTTTAATTATTAGAATATACGATCCGCTCTAGGATCTGCTCTAGAATCCCCTCTTAACCTTTCTAGTTATATGATTTAGCATAGCTTAGTTAATAAAGAGGTATTACCTCTTTATATCTATAATACCACCTAAATGCTAAGCATTATTAACTAGAACCAAGTCTATACTATATAGTAGAGAAGTGATCACGTTACACGTATCAATACCTGTGATACTAACACTAATGCTAGAAGAAAGACTAGAACTTATACATTATCCATCTTATACCAGAGATAGCCGCTGGGCTTCAGGCCTGGAAACCTCTTTTTTATTCAGTCAAATGCCGTAGGAAATGGGACTAGTGCTTCTCGTTGCAAATGATAATGGTTGTTTAGTGCCACATTAATATAATTTCTATGTCACATAAGTATATATAGATTGTTTATAATTTCAAGGTTTTTTTCTTATTAGGGAATTATTAGTTGCTCTAAGAACTAGCTTAGTGCTAAAGCTGCGACTCTAATGCCTGTAACCGCTCGTTGAGCCATAGCATATCCTCCTCATGCACCCGCATCGACTCAGCGAGAGCAACCTCATACTGATCGTTGAGCTCTCGTAGAGTCTCATGATGCGTCCGCAGCCACTCATCGTGCGGAAGGTGATGCTCCTCACTGATCACCCGCAGATCCTCCTCCAAAGCCTGCATCCGCTCCCCCCGCACTCGCTCGCTATGTATCATCTGCCGCAATCTCATCCGGTCGGAAGACATTTGACTCTCCTCGTCGAGCGAAACCTGCCGCGCCTGCATCTGATCGTCCAGCTCGTCCAGCTGCTCCTGCCTATAGATCAAGGGATCTCTTTCAGTTACAGGTCCGGTCCAAACAGCATAAAACAAAGTCATCCACCAGGTGGGTCGGGGCGCAAGAGGTTCTTCCTCCGGCACGCCAATACCCGCAGCTCGCTCCCAGGGTGTCAAAAGATCGAACTCCCCTCGGCACAAGGGACACACCCATAACGGGCGCCCTGAGCTCCATTGATCTGCCCAGGCCTCGATACATTGATGGCCTACAACATGCGAGCAAGGTAGCTGCATGGAGGCTTCCCCATCTGTGGAAGAAGATCCATACGCTTCTTTGCAAATTGGGCAATTCTGATCGTCGTCCGCCCCAGGAACTACCGGCGTCAGGATTTTATTCAAACGACGGATCAACTCGGCGTTTCCAAGATCTTTAAGATCTTTAAGAACGTTCTCTGATTCTACCTTGTCTATCTCATATAAGATATCGGCGATGCGAAGCTGGTAATATAGTCTATTCTGACCATCTGTCAACTCTGGTGTTTCTCTATCAAGGATGTACTCTGTGAGTTTGAACCTAATGCTATTGAGAAATAACCATTGGTCGGGTGTCAACTTACCGCAGAATTCATAAGGGTTGTATGAATCGTAGATGTGCTCCTGCTCGCCTTCTACTAGGACCCTGCCATAGAACTCATTTGGGAAAGTTTTATACTGTTGCTTTGATTGAGCAGCCAGACTGAGCAGTCGCTCTACCTTCTCTCTTACATACACGGGTAATCCATGGCGTGTAATATGCGGCACCTCGTTAGGCACAGGGCCTGGAGTTTGAGGACATAAGGGGCAGTAATTTGACTGGATGTATGTGATCGCCTCAGTCTCGGCGCCACAGGACGGGTAGTTTGGACACCGATAAGTTTTGCTCCATTGTTCAGGCTGTCCAGTGACTAAGTTAGTGGATAGGGTTGGTACCATGAGATGATGTTTACATCCACTGAAAAAGGCTCTGTATGTTCTGCACATGGCTGTTGATTTTAATGTGAAGTGATGAAAGTGTCTAATCGGAATAGCATTCCAAGGGTATATAATCACATCTTAGAATGCTTGTTTACCTGTAACTAATTAGACTGTTCTGCTTCTATTGCTTGTTTATTTGACTTCCCCGTGTACTGTCAAAGGCTTACGGTTTTCATTTTTTGTTATGCCAAGAGAGAACTGCAGAGAAACGAGCCATTATCCACCTGCGTGGGAAGACGACCAGGAACAAAGATATGAAATTTGCAAGAACGAACATTGTTAAATCTGTTTTGTCCTTTGAGAACAATGTGGGGGGAAAAGTACAAACAAAGATTATGTAATACTTGTTCATCAAAGCACTCGTGGCTTCTGGCAACAAAACTGGTAATAGCAACTTGAACTACACAACTAATAAATGCAAAGACATCTCGAAAAAAAAAAAGGAACACGCAGAACAAAATATATAAATATTGCTGCTGGAAATATCTCAGAACCTCATCTTAAGAGGATGCTGGGTAGCCTCTCGGGTGGATTTGATAAATACCTGTAGGGCTGTAGCCGGACAGTCTAGGTAGGAAGAGGAGTAGAAGGAGGACACATTACTTGCTGTAGACTTGAACTTTTCAAGTTTATATTTATTGGACTCGCGGATGATAAACGCAAAGAAAGGAAAAGGGCGATTAAAAGGCTTTCAGGGAAAGCCCAACAGAGTCGAGTCAGGAGAGAAATTGCAGCCTTGATAAAGATTAGCGAAGTTGACGAAAATAAATTTCTCTTGGCATTACTCGTAACTTCACGTGCGGTATCACCTGACTGCTGCCTTACAACCGCAGCTCCTCTTTGAGCAAAGGGGTGGGAACGCTGCCTACTGCCAAGCAGGTCTTATGATATCAAGTGACATTCGCGATTCACGTCCAAATAGCGAGACGTGTATTTAAAGAACGCAACAGCCCCCAGGAGCTTGAAAGGAAGAAGTACTTCCATCTCTTTAAACATTAATCGCGCCGTGGTTGATTCGGCTTCTCGTACATCTTTCCAGCAAACAGAATGTCTTTATTCATCGACTTATTCATCGACTTGCCCCTTGAGATCCACCACATGATCCTCGAAAAGTGCTCTCGCAACGACAAAGTTTGTCTTAGACTAGCTTCGAAGCGCCTCTTTGCATTGATTCCCGAGATCAGTCCTGACCCTGATGTCAACCAGACAGACAGTCAAAACATTCCTCTCACTCAACCTGACAATCATCATCTCTGCGGCAAAACAATCTCTATGCACGAAAACCGAGAAAGGCAGCTCCACCGCTATCAATGCCACTACCTTTCGAAAGCAGAAGACCAGCGCCGCAAAGTGCTCCAAGAAGGAGGGGATCCCTCAGGGATTATCGCCGAGGTCCAGCAAAACTTTGGTAGCCCTGGAATTCGGACTTGCAAAGTGAGGGCATATAAAGATCATTGCGAATGCTTCAATAAGCCGCTGTGGAAGAGATTGGAGGGATGGGTCAGAGATGGGAAGGGGCGCGATTTTCGGTATTGTTCGCAGTGCGATACGTTTACCAAGAGAATGCCGGGACATAGGGGACGGTGCTATCATGGTCGTGGGAAGCCGAGGCGTCAGAGACATGAATTTTGGACATACAAGAAGGGTGGCGGCGGATATCGTTGGAAAGAAAAGAAGGAGACTTGGATATACGCAAAGTAGGAGTAAGGTCCGTATATGATGACCATATAATAAAGATTCAATACCACTTGGGCTGTAGATTCATGCGACGCTGGGCGGAAAGAAAGATGAACGGGGATAGAATGGCATGGATAAGGAGATTGTGATATTCCTCGCGCAAGTAGTCCCTCCAGTCAGCCGTACAGTATAAATGCGAGCCCAACCAACCCGCACGCACCAAAAACGTGCCTGTGCTGTGCAAAACCTCCTCGCCTCGCCCAATACATTATGTCGGTTCCCGCTGGCCTTAGCTCACATTACAGTAACTAATGATTGCCGTGAATATTCTCTCTCCTCTATCTGCCCATATTCGATAAATTGCCCTGTCCATTTCTCTGAACCATATTCCCTCCCATGAATTTATAACGCACCGCACAGCACAGCTCGCAAGGCTAGTTCTTAGCCTTGTTCGTCATGAAGTTTGCCAAAGAACTAGAACAGGACCTCGTCCCAGGTAACACGGCTTCATCTGTGTACCAATTACTACAGCTAATTTACCCCCAGAATGGCGCGTCAAATACATGGACTACAAAGCGGGCAAGAAACATGTCAAAGCCGTCGCTCGAGCCACGAATCGAATCAACGCTACGCCTCGACCACGTCCTTCAGACCAGATACCTCGAACCACAAGCTTATATGGAGCTACATCGCCTGCTACTGCCAGGACTAAACGTTCTTCCACCCTTCGCAGAGCCGAGGGCCAAGATGGTGAGCCCAGCGAGCGTCTACATACAACCCCAGCCGCTCTAGGGGCAGATACTCGAGATTCGGAAGGACCGACCAAAGACCCCTTTGCAGCGTTGAGAAAGACCCCTCCGGCGCCAATCCCAAAAGCCAAACCTCCTCCTAGTTCACCCAAGAAACAAACTCTACATTATGGCAGCTTTGGCAGCTTTGTTCCGACTCCTGCAGCGAAACCAAGGCCAAACCCTTTCGAACTCCCCGAGCCCGCAATATCTACTGACACTCCTGTGGAGAGTACAACCCCAGAAAATGAACTTGAGAATCCTCCGCAACCTACCCGAAGCACTTCAATGACTGTAGCGCAAGGTGCATATCAAGTTGGGCCCATAACCCCGCCCCCTCGAAGCTCCACGTTCGCATCTCTTCGAGACCGAGTACCACAAACGTATAACGTGAGAGCATCGGTGCGTCGAATGTTTTCTATAGATGGACATGGAAGTCCTGCAACAAGAATTGAATCACATAGATCAGATGTGGATATGGCGGTACTGGATCAAGTGAGGGCCAAACAGAAGGGCTTCTTCAAATTCATGGACAAAGAATTGGATAAAGTCGAGAGCTTTTATAAATCGAAAGAAGATGAAGCCGGTCAAAGATTAAGTACTCTACGTGAGCAATTGCACGAGATGAGGAATCGCAGAATCGAGGAGGTTATGCTAGCACAACAGGCGAAAGCTACGCGGAAGGAGGACGAGCGAGCTCTATTCAATTTTAGCAGCTCAAGATCAAACGTCCAGTCTAGAGATGGAGATGGAAGTCCACCAACTTCACAGGACCATCTGAAAGCCTTTCTCGACCCTTTAGACAGATTTATCGGGGAAGCAAAAGCAAAGGCTTTCGGACCTCACCCAGGATCGAATTCGAAAGCTCTGCAAAACATGATGGATTCGCCTGAGCTACGAGCTAAGAACCAGACAGAGCCATCCCGAACTATGGACCAGAATCGCGACTATATCCGACGTCCTCACTATTCTGATGAGGTCCCATATCGAACGGCAAAACGAAAGCTCAAGCTTGCGCTACAAGAATTCTATCGCGGCATGGAGCTGCTCAAGTCATACGCTCTGCTTAATCGCACAGCGTTCCGTAAAATTAACAAAAAGTACGACAAGGCAGTCAATGCGCATCCCCCCTCAGATTCATGTCTGAGAAAGTCAACAAAGCATGGTTTGTCAATAGTGATGTTCTAGATGGTTATATCCATGCAGTTGAAGACTTATACGCCAGATATTTCGAGCGTGGTAACCACAAGATCGCGACAGGAAAACTAAGGAGCTCTTCCGGGCGACCAAAGGACCAGTCTCGTAGTGCCTTTCAAAATGGCATACTGATCGGAACTGGCGCTGTATTTTCTATCCAAGGTGTCATCTATGGGCGTGATCTATTGCGCCACCAAGACCCCACCGTAGTAATCCAGACCAGCTATTTATTGCAAATCTATGCTGGATACTTTCTTGCTCTCTATCTATTCTGCTGGTTCTGTCTAGACTGCAGTATCTGGACACGCCACAAGATCAATTACGCCTTCGTCTTCGAATTTGATCCTCGGCACAACTTGGACTGGAGAGAGTTGGCCGAATTCCCTTCATTTCTTATACTTCTCCTTGGATTATTTGTTTGGGTCAACTTTTCTCGTTATGGAGCGCCTGAAATGTACATATATTATCCGGTGATCTTGATCTTTGTCACCTTAGTTATCATATTCTTTCCTGGACCGTACATATTCCATCGGAGTCGGAAGTGGTTTGTTTACTCGCATGTAAGTTCCCTATTCATCGACCAGACCTTGCTGACATATTTAGTGGCGTTTGCTTCTAGCCGGACTATACCCTGTGGAGTTTCGGGACTTTTTCCTAGGAGACATGTATTGCTCTCTAACATATTTCATGAGTGTAAATATAATCTGCTCCCACTCGAATCTGATCCTCCATCTAACATCTTATAGAATATAGAACTTTTCTTCTGCTTGTATGCACATCATTGGAACAATCCAGGCCAATGTAATTCAACACATTCCCGACTACTTGGTTTCTTCTCGGCACTTCCTGGCATATGGCGAGCATTGCAATGCTTAAGACGTTACTACGACACACAGAACTTCTTCCCCCATCTGGTGAATTGTGGAAAGTACGGGATGACTATATTATACTATGTCACGTTATCTATGTACCGTATCAATCATAGCAAGAGCCACTTAATAGTGTTTTCAACATTCGCCGCTGTCAACGCTTGTTATTGCTGTAAGTTCTTAAACTGCCTGCTCTAATACCTCTACTCACACCACCTAGCTATATGGGATCTCCTCATGGATTGGTCACTCCTCCAACCCAACGCTTCAAAACGCTTCCTCCGTGACGTCCGCGGCTTCAAGAGCTCGTGGTGGTACTACGGCGCCATGATCCTCGACCCAATCCTCCGCTTCAATTGGATCTTCTACTCGATCTATACCCACAACCTCCAACACAGTACCGTCGTCTCCTTCCTCGTCGCCCTCTCCGAGGTCACACGCCGAGGTATGTGGACGCTCTTCCGCGTCGAAAACGAACATTGCTCCAACGTCGCGCGCTTCAAAGCCTCGCGCGACGTCCCCCTCCCTTATTCCGTACCAACAGAGTCAGAGGAGGATTTCGAACGCCAGGGATCACACACGGCCGAGGGGCAGCCGGTACAAGTCTCACCCGCTCTCGAGAGGCACAGAAGCTATGCCAGCGGCGCGCTGGAAGCGCAAGAGCAGGACGGCGAGTTCAGATACAGAGCCCCTAGTAGGACGTTCACGCGTGTCATCGCAGACGCACATACACAGGACTTTGAGAAGAAGCGGAAGCCCGGCGTAGGAGATGGTGATAAAGCTGGTAACAGGCTGCGTGATGTGGTGAATCACGACGCACGGGCGGGGAGTAGCGATGATGAGGATGACGAGGATGCGAGTGATGAGCAGGATATTCTTGATGCGGAGCAGTTGTTGAGGGAGAGGAGGGCGTCGAGGCCTGATGAGGGAAGGGATAGATAGGTGTGACGGTGCTGGGAGCTATAGAATTGTTTGAAATATTCCCTTTATTTGCATAGGCGCAAATCCTCTAATGTCATGTCTTCCCCGGACTCCGATATGACCAAATTCACATCTGGTACACATCGGTTTCTTTACTCCAATCAACAATGACTTCCATACAAGCCCGTGTTCAGACTGGGCGTGCGACGCACCTCACCACACCCTCCGTAAAATCCGAGAGTATCTACGATACAATTCCGGGTTCCTTGGATATATCCTAGCAGGTGGAAATAATCACATGATCCCAGGGCATCCCAGATACTTCACATGCTTGCTTGTCAAAATTCCTATTTTTTAAGACTAATCAAGACCTTGAGCCCCTTTGTCAACCCTTTAAGCCTTTGTACAGTACTAGCTTTGAGACACTCTAGAAATGTTATATTTCTTTACTTATTTTTTTTCAATTTGCATACAATCAAGCGGCGCTTCTTGCCCCCTTAATTGGGCAATTCGATTTTCCGTAATAGAAGATACTTGTACTTCGTTAGTTGGAGTGAGAATCAGTATGAACGAAGGATATAACAGTAAATGCTATTACTAGTAGTAATATACGTAGTAGAACCCAACTGCCACTAGATATAGATTTCGGGGGAAATAATTGACAATAACGAGTGAAACTCAACAAACTCCAAGGAACATGTACCCGACGAGTGGAAATGCAATCGCATAGTATCTCATTCAGAATAAGCCAGCTACGAATATGATCACGAATTGACTTTTGTATTTGAAAAGCCCGAACGTCTATCACTTCTAAAATCTCGAGACCGGTATGTATAAAACCCATATATCCACCCCGACGCCTAAAATCAAGCTCACAAATGCCATACGTTCTTTCATTGCCATGATATCAGCCGCAAGTACCTCTAAGCTCAATCCATAGCATATCATTAGGTCCACTTCTGAACCGCCGTTCCACCCCTTTTAAACTCCGCAACATCTCCCAACGCCAAGCTCTTATCAGTATGATCCTTGCTCGGGAAAGTCGTAGCCAGAACCCATGGTCTCACGTTGGAGTCTGAAGTAGCGCGGCTGATAAACTCGTAGACGTCGCCGATTGTTTGGGTGGTATTAAAGCGCGCGGGGAGACGGCTGCCGTTGGCGAGTTGAATTCGGAGGGAGACGGTGGGTACCGAGGTGTCGATTTCGGGTTCGGGGACGGAGCTGCTGGTCGATGCAACTGCCGCTGGAGCTGGGGTAGAGGTCGTAGTGGTAGATGAAGAGGCTCCTGGGGTGGGGCTGCCTAATCGTTGTCCTCCGCCAGAGAATGGCTTGTAGACTTTGGGTTGGGGCTTGTAGTTTTCTTCGTGCTTTATGAGCTGGACATCGACTGGTTGTTCTGTTGCGACTCCCATTAGGTGAACAGGAGCGCGGCCTTGGCGGATCATTTGTAGTTCGGCGGCATTTTGGGGGTCGTCGAAGCGGCGGAGCTCGCCATCTTCAATGCTGAAACCATCCTCCCAGAGATGTAGAACCCGTGTTTGGACTGGGCCTGGGTCTCGTGCCCGAGGTCGAGGATCGGGAATTGTTTGGGAAGGGGTATCGTCGCCACCGAGGGTTTGGCCTGAGCCACGGAAGCGAGAGGTAGAGGCAGATGAAGAGGGTTCTCCGCCCCCAGGTCTCTGAGAATTTCTGTTTCATATTAGCATTTACTAGAAGGCTGGGTGGAAGTAAAGCTTACGTTCTAGCCTTCTTCAGGATGTCATTCACAACCTTTCTGGGATCATTTCTATTATTGGGGTCCTGAACAGCCAAACCTGACTTCTCGCCTCCAGCGAATAAATCTCTTGGCTGCTCAGATGGCTTGAAATCCTCATCATCAGAGTCATCGTCATCATCGTGTGCGTGGCCATGGCCTCCGCCGCCTGAAGATTGACCTATTGATCCCAGTGTTGCAATACCTCCTCTCTTTGGTGGAGCAGCAGATCTCGAGCTTGAACCAACAGTGGGAATTGATGCTGGTGCAGGTCTGCCGTCCAAAGTTCGGGGGCCCGTATATGCTTCAGCCTCTTGTGGATCTTCCTCCCCGCCTTCTTGTGCTCCCGCAATACCTTCTTCATGAGCAGTGAAGTACTCAGCAACCGCACCTGACAAATCCCACCTGTTTGCTTCCAGGTATTGCTGGGCCTATTGAACATTGTGTTAGCAGGTCAGGAAAAAGCTATGTTGAAATATGAGAAGCTTGAACATACATCTGTAGCTGAAGCACTGGTTACGGCGCAGAACTCAGTAATGAGCTCGTTATGGCTGTTGTTTTCCGCCATAGTGGCGATGCTTAGCTGTACAAGTTACGGACGTACTGATTTGATGGCGTGTATGCTTTATTCGTAACGTTGAGTCTGTCGGTGTTGGTGGTGTTTTGGTAATAATTATATGTTCATGAAGGAAGGCAGAGGCAGCTCTTGGAACGTACCCCTCGCCAAGCTTCCGCGCCGATCAAGCTGCCGAGCGGAATTTCCCGCCAATACAGTACCGGTACTAAAGTCAATACAGTATCAACAGCTTCAAGATCTCAACCGCGGTCTTGCAAAACTACAAACACTTCACATTCGAGGACGTATATCTGTTTACCTTCAACAAAGTTTCCAGACTCCCATCATGTCTACCGATAACCCTTTGACCGAATCCTCAATGACCATTCCTTCCGACTCCGAGAGGTATTCCAGCAACGATAATGACGATCTTTCTCCTTCTCCGCCATCTTCCTCCAGCTCCCCACCAATGATATTGTATACACCGCCTACAATCTGGGGGCTTCTACGAGGTGCAGCGATCAATCTATTTCTGCCATTCGTCAATGGGCTCATGTTGGGATTCGGGGAGCTCTTTGCACACGAGGCAGCATTTAGGTTAGGATGGGGAGGCACAAAGGTAAGGACTACTATTATTTCCACACTTGAAGGATAGTTCTACGTTGTGTTTTTGTGGTCTCACTGTATCTATTGGAGTTGCAAAGAATGCCATCTAAAAACTGTTGAGGAACGCGTTCGGCAGTGGCATCTAGCTAACACAGACTCTTAGGTTTTCCCTAATGGACGGACATCACATTCAGTTGGACCAGGTATCGAGATTCGAGATGATCCTTTTGAGCGGAGGAAAAGAGATGGGCAGTTGGATGACTTGACAAGCATGGAATGAGCAACTGGGCAGATGAAGGGATATAAAAATTATACAAAACCGGAGTTTGGGAATTGTAAAACATAGGTAGAGGTACGGACTTTCTACTTGGGGTCTGGAAAGAAAAACATAATATCCAGGCAAACATACATGAATGGTTGTAGGCATAAGGTAGAAATGTATGAAGAACTCCACCCAAAAACTCGGCATCTACACTATCTACCCTACCTATGCTTTGTAGTGAGACTAGAATAATTTAACTTCTGATATTCTCATCGTTGCTTACCTGTAATATACAATGTAGTCCACTCGTAAAAAGGCTTGAGTTTCCTCAGGCCCCCATGAATGTATTAATTTATGCATCCTTCTTATGACGCTAGTAAAAGTTATGCATTAAGGTCGCGATTATGCAAGTTCGAATATTTTGCGACTCGTCTCGTCTCTCGTCCGCCCAGCTTTTGAATCGTAAACCACGACAAAATGTTACCTAGCAGAGGTCTTCGCTGGTCCGGTCAGGCCATTGGCATAGGTAGACGAAGATTAGACCTATTTCCTGCTTCTACTAGACAAGTAATCCTCCCAGACTCCCAGTACTTTCAATGAATTAGCATAGACAGATGCTGACCTGACCTGATCTCTGTAGTTCTCTTCAACTGTACAACGAAATGCGCCCATTAGAGGCAGTCCACTCCTTTCCTACAACTGTCCTTCGCTGGGTAGAATATCCTCAAAATCCCAATTATCGACGACAAATATTTTAATGCGAAATGGTGCTGCTGTCCGCTTTGCTTCCAGCGCCCCTCTCTCTGCATCTGCAATCCCCGCGACCTCTACAACTACAAATACCCCAACAGACGCTGCGGGCGCCTCAGCTTCTTCCTTGGACTCTGTTACGCCCACTTCTCTCGATGACTTCTCTGCCGGATATGCCGCCGAATCCCTCGCCGATGTGCCCCATTACCTGGGGTATTTCAAAGATCTCGGGTTGGACTATGGATGGGGTCCCACAGCTGGAATGGAATGGGTGCTTGAACATGTCCATGTATTGGCAGGGACTCCATGGTGGGTATCAATTGCAATAACATCGGTACTGGTGCGCATAGCTCTCTTCAAGCTGTATGTTAACGCGGCCGACAATGGCGCCAGAATGGCAGCAACTGCTCCCTTGACCGCACCGATCACGGCAAAGATGAAAGATGCTCAGGCAAGAGGCGATAATACGGCGGTGTTCCAGCATTACTCCGAAATCAGCGCAATACAGAAGAAAGCTGGAGCTTCCATCATGAAACAATTCGTGCCTGCAATTGGAGGAATCGCTACCTTTGGTATTTTCAAGTTTCTGAGGGCAGCGTCTGCTCTCCCAGTCCCTAGTATGGAAACAGGCGGTATTCTTTGGTTTGAGAATCTTACTATTCCTGATCCCTACTTTTTGATTCCATTGGCTACAGCAGGTATGGTGCATTGGCTTATACGCGTAAGCATTTTGTCCTCCCGCTTGCTGCCATTGCAAGAATTCTGACAGTCGTAACAGAAAGGTGGTGAGACAGGTGTCAGCACCCTTTCCCCCGGGATGTTGAATGCTATGATGTGGGGTATCCCCACCATCTCTCTCCTCTTCACCTGGTGGCTCCCAGCGTCCGTTCAACTATCATTTTTTGTCACGGGCCTACTATCCTTCACCCAAGTAACCATGATGCGACAACCGTGGTTCAGACAATACTTCAAAATGGTCCCACTTCCAGAAAGCGGTTCCAAAGGCCCATCATTGTCTGCCTACAAAGGCACCATAAAGCGCTTAGAAAGCCCTGTTCTCACCCAAGAAGAGCTCAATGCCCGCTTCCAAAGCAGCAGCTCTTCTTTCCCTCGACAACCAGAAGCTCCTAAAAGCGCTTTGAAGAAAATGATGAACGTGGCCTTGAAGCCTCTTGAGCCAGTCAAGGCCGCTATGGCGCCGACAATTACTAGCGCGAGGAATATGCAAAACGATCAAAATAAGAAAAGAGGCAAGAAGGATGCGCAGAAGTATGAGGAGAAGAGGAGCGAAGAGGTCAGGAGGGAGAGGGAGGCAAGAGCCGAAGGAGAACGACATCGTCGAGCTCTAAGGAGAGAAAACAAGGAAGCTCTAAGGAGACAAAATAAGGAGAATTAATATTTTGCAACGGTTATTGCATCATAATGTAGAATATTGTAACAAGGTCACAGCATAAAAGAATGGCCTCATCAATCTCCGCTGAGGCAATCATAACTGATTCTTTATCTTAGTGTAATGTTTGATTATAGTTTTTTGGCTCAGTTTTTGTTATTCATGGGTTTCTCTGTCTTGCCTGGCTTTCCTATAATTCAAAAAGCAGTTATTATTGTTCTGTCTATTTCTCTGCATGTCGCCAGAAGCTAGCATCTCAGATGAGAGGCCGCTGAAGCCGCAAGTAAGCTGAACTTCCAGTCGGATTTGAAGGCCTCCCAAAGCAAGTCCCTTTACTTCGCATTGAACTCGAGATCCCTCCACGTGATAGCTGCGAAGCGGCCTCACTAACCCGCCAATCCCACGTTCTTCTCATATTGCACCGTGGGAAAATAAAAGGCCCACCATCTTTTTCAGAGGCCTCCAGTCGATTCTTTGCCCTCTGCTGCTGAAGTATAGGTATAAAGAAAGCGAAATCTATTTCCAGGCCAGATTATCGAAGTACGTTCATATCACATTACAATCCAATTCAACCCAACTTACCACAACACTACTGTATCCATCACACACTCGAAACATCCCTCTCTGTACTCAAAATGCCTTCTTCAAGGACCCAGAACTTTGGACACCGTTCCCATTCTAACAAGTATGGTTTCTCCGCTTCTCGCTTTTACTACACATTCACTTATCAACTATGTTCTCAGATCCCATAGATCTACCACGTCGTCCTCAACTGAGGCGACAAGTTCTTCTTCAAGGCAGAAGTCACATACTGAAGCTACGACGTATGATGATCTCGCTGATGGGACGGATGATGGCGCTGTGGATGGAGACACGACGGTTACGGGGGGTCAGGAATATGACTTGCGAGGCGTTGGGAGTCAGTTTGATGGTCATGGTTATGGGTACGGAAGCGGGAGTGCAAGTGGGAGTTGAAGGAGGGTGCTTTTATTAGTTTTGCTTCTTTTAAACTGTCGATGGAGTGGAGTAGAGGCAATGGATCGGAACTAGATCATTCAGATTTCAGTATTCGACATTCTTACTCTCGCGAAAGCGGGAAAGATGGTAAAGGTGTTTCAAGTGAGGTACTTGGTGTTGATATTCGTGAATGTCTGAACACATCTGAGAGATTTAAGTCTTCCTCGAGTGAGTAGTTAGCCTCCACCACCATGCTTTGAACTAACAGTGAGTATCACGTGTATGATTTACACGTGATTATTGGCACTGATGGGGGCCTCCTCCCCTTTTTGGCGCCACGCATCTTACACTGCATTCTCCTTTCCACCCCAATATGCAGTTTTTCTCAAAGGGGACCTCTGAGTCGTGCGCTTATATCGGTTATGTTTAGATTTTGTTTATGATCTTGCCTTTCACTTTTGCCTGATGGGCCATGGTCGGCCTCTTTCCTCCTTGACCGTGCAACTGGGCGGCCTCCCCCACTGCGTAAATCGTTTTCGCAGAATACGCAGTGTAACAATAACGGGTCAAACAGGTCGAAATTTCCTGTGGCTGTCTTGAAGCTCGCTAGTTCTGTCCAGATTCCTTGATTGCGGAGGCCACCCATCTGCTCAGCCTTGTTTCGGGAATCTCATATTGATATATACCCCTGTATTTGCTGTTTTTTTTTTTCTACTCTAAAGGAGATTATCAAAAGGCCGCCAGCCAGCATCGCTGTACACGGTGTTCCAAAAGCTTTCCACGCCGTTGTGACCTCAAGTACGTTGGATGCATATGATCCCAATTGCTGATAGAACATGTTGACGACACCTTGTAGCAAACACGTCAAAACACATAATCACCAATTCAACTGTACCCTACCGGCCTGTGGTAGAAGCTTCGCATTAAAGAAGGAACTTCAACGACATATCGATACAGATCACGACAAAGACGCCTGTTTCGACTGTACAGTCCAGGGCTGCGAGGAGATTCTTTCGAGAATTGACAGCAGGAGAAGGCATTTTAGGGAGATACATGGGCCTCGATGAAGCTCCAAAATAAAGTTGAAAACAGAAAACTCGAAAAACACTAATAAAATAGCAAAAGTCAAAAGAATTTGACTCCACATCACTTCTTCAGCTCACTCCGCAAGTACTCCTTTTGTTCATGTCGGCCAGTTGATCCCTTAAGGAGGTGTTGAAAAAGTAGGTAGTTGTCCATGCAGTGAGATTCACTCATCCGGATCAGGAGGACAATTATTAACGAAAGAGCTCGTATTCGGTCACCCAATTAGGAATAGAGTCTAGAGTAAGCATACTACGCGGCTGAATGTTCCTCGTCTCGTGAGACTTCGTCCGAGGTAATTGTCCAAGATAGGTCGCGGAATTTCGTTCGACTTCGTTCAAGATTCTCGCGAGCCCATCCAACATACAAACGGGAGTTTTCGAGTCCACACAATTCGATCTTCGCAGGCGTAAATAATTTAGGGTTGTTTAATGGCTTTTTACATTAATCGGAATCGGACGTTCGGTGTTCTATATATATGATTAATCCCTCGGAATTCAGTAACATATTAATGACCGCGGCGTGAGTCGGTGTAGGAACGAGGCACGTACTGGCTGATATAAGCACGTACTAGATGGTATAAAGTTCAACAAACTTCCAGTATTCGATACTAAAGAATCACCCCTTATTCCCTGTGCTTGAAAAATCACTGTGCAACCTCGTTTTTACAAAGCTTGCTCCATTTTCCTTCAGTAAATTTCTAGAGATGACTTCAATAGCGCAAGCTCGGCCAGGCCCCAAGATAACCGTTCATTGGCACGTTCCCTTCAATCTCTCAGCATGGATATATCTAACACGCCGTATAGGCTAGAAAGCTCTCGCGCCCAACGTCTTCTCGTGCTTCTGGAGGAACTAAACCTCAAGCACGAAATCAAGACATACAAGCGAAACAAAGATGGACTCGCTCCGGAATCCCTGAAGAAGATCCATCCCCTAGGCAAGTCCCCTGCCGTAGAGATTGAGCTTCCAGGCCAGACACCATTTATTCTCGCTGAATCTGGCGCCATCTTCGAGTATCTATGCAAGCACTTCGGGGAGCATTTAATCCCAGATAAAGGTGCTGATGGAGAGAAGGGTATTGAGTCTGAGGAGTTTAGGAGGAATCAATACTTCATGCATTATGCTGAAGGGAGTTTAATGAGTCTTCTTGCGATTGCTGCTGTTATGTTGAGTACGTTTTCAAACCTAGATTGCGCCGAAATTCCGTAAGAATTTAGAATTACACATGCTTACACCCTCAGACATAAAAAAGGCGCCCGTCCCTTTCTTCATCAAGCCCATCACGCGCATGATCACCAGCAAAATCGACGAGGCTTTCCTGAAGCCCAACTTCGAAACACATTTCGAGTTCTTGGAGGGTCAACTCAAGACATCGCCGCATGGAGGATCTTATCTCTGCGGGAAGCAAGTTACGGAGGCTGATTTCCTTATGATGTTTCCAATTGAGATTGGTAAATCGTGGGGTGCGTTGACACCGATGAAGTTCCCGAAGTTGTGTGGATATTTGGATCTAATGGAAGGGCGCGAGTCGTATAAAGCTGCGGAAAGGAAGGTTGTTGAGATCGAGGGAAGTTTCAAACCGGTGTTTTGAGACTAGGAATATTTGGTGCTGCTCTGGAAATTTGGATTGATGTAAAAATTTCAGGGAGAAATGAGGCCCCTCTCAACTCACACTTGTCATAACTGTCATTCAACTCACTAAGAGATCAAATTCATCCATAGAGAACCTTGTGATTCATTAATGGCAGTATTTTCTGGGAAGGAGCAGTGAACTTGCAACGTCTTCTTTAAAGGTCCCAAATCGCAATCAGGTATTTTGGTGAATCCGGTCGCAGGGGTTGGAGTTCGCTTTCCCCATAGCCCCTATTGCCTTAGCGAGACTTAGCCTAAAAGTGGGTGGATATGGGTGGGTGCTTCTACTTGAGCCTCAGACTAAGATATAAAACCATGCACGGTTTCTCGTATTGAATCAAAACAGCGTGACAGATATTTAAAGTTCCGAGGCGTTCATTCCTCTGGGGATATGAAGATGGGTGAAGCTAGGAGGTCGACGGTGAATATATAATCCGTGCATCAACTGGCCACCGGAGTACATGTTTTCTTCCTACCTTCCTCTCGGTCGCTTCCTTCTACACTTGCATTTTCCTTCGCCAGTAGACCCTCCATAATCGAGTAAGTACTCTGAAGATAGAAGAGCGATACCTTTAAGCTTCTAAATTATATAAATGTTGATGTTTTTTGGCGGGATTTCCGCAACTAACGAGTCGAGGGGTCGAGGAATTATTTCGGTGCAATGCTAAATGTACATTCCTGAAACATGGTGCGGAGTACCCTCCGTGGGGAATAGTACATAATATGTATGGGTAGGAATGTTTAAACATTTTAACATTCCAGTCCCAAATTGGGGGTTGTTTTCTTTCTTATTCATACTGTGTGCCTCTTTCGAGCTTCATGTTGCACCTTTGCGTTCACATCCCAATCCGAAAACCTCGCGAGGACGATTTTATAGATGCTACGAAACCCTAGAATAGTTCTAGATCTAGATCATCGGATTCGGTTTCCACAATCAATGACCTGAGGGCGACTGGCCAGTGGTCACCCCTTTCTGCGACGATACACGACTTACGGATGGTCCGGAGAGATAGTCCCACCAGCTGGGAATTGCGTACAGGATATTAGGATGCCGCTCCTCGAACTTCTGCTCAGAAGACATGTAGTGTCAAGACGCTATTTAGAGTCCGGTGTTTTGTCTATTGGAGATATTGTGGGAATCGCCATTGGAGGGTTTCTTATGCTGCTGATTGTTCTCACATTGATTGGGGTCCACTATGCAAGAAGCAATCATAGGCGGAGACGAACTTCTCAAGCAGTTCAGGTCAACGAGGAAGAGATTGATACCAAGTCGGCTTTAAAATCTACTTGCCCCCTTGATGGCTGCATACCACGAAGGTCTCAATGCAATCAGTTCCTCGCCCACCGTGATGGCGTCGTATGCCGCGATTGCGTTGAGGCGAATCCCATTCAGCATCCTCCGATGGCCAAGCCGAAGAACCTGTCGGATCCGAAGCGTTTCTTTCGAATATCCGGGTTGAGAGACTCTTGGCCCTTGGGTTCCGGTATTTCTCTAGGTTTCCTCCCATCGCAAAACACGATGATTTTGAACCAAGTTGCACCTCCCGGATACATGGTGGTTCCGCCCGAGAATAGATGGCCCCGAAGATCATCGTCTAAGTCGGCACAAAACAAAATCCTTGTCCAGTTTCCAGATTCGGGTATCAGGTTGGACTCAACAGAGTCGAATTCGAAGGCCATATCGTCAAGACCCCATATCCAGCGTCGACCAACATCCGAGTCTCAACTTTCAACTATTTTGCGATCAACCTCGCAACGGTTGAAAGGCACCCAAAGGGATTCTCTTACGAGCACTATGGGTACATTTAGACAGCTCCCGGGGTGGCCTCCATCGCAAGATCTACCAGACCTACCCCGGATGGAGCGACGAGAGTGCCGCGAAAGCCCCAAAGAAGCAAATGATGCGGGATCTGATAGCAGCTCTATCTACGAATCGTATCTAGAGACTTCGCCATGTTTTGGCAAGCGGGCTTCCAAGAAATCTTACCTTGCTACGTCAAATCGTGGCAGGTCACCGACGCCGTCTGCTGGTTCAGATGACAGTCTTTGCGGGAACCAGACACCAGATCTAGTCATTCCAGCCCAGCTTAGTTCACCAAGTAAACGGGATGGGCGGCACGAACGAAGACATCGAATGAGTATTTCTCAGGGCAGCAATGATCCTGGAGCCATGATTCGCAAGAACAGCCGAGCTTCTATTGGGATTCTTGGGACTCGAGAGTCAATCGAGGACCAGGAAGTGATTTCCAAGTTGCATCGAATTTCGTTATCCAGCGACCCATTTGTTTCCAGTGTGAAGAGTTCCAAGCCTGTATTCCCGAAGACCCCGATTCTGGATCCTCGACCTCTTTACGTCAGAAAAGCGACATTTGGACAGGAAGCAATAACAACAACTGAAAGACCTTCGGGTTATACTTCACCACCTCTACAAGATGTTTCAGGAAATTCCCAAAGCCCTCTCAGAAGACATGAATCAATGGAAACTGCTATGAACAATAGCCCTGACCACAACCCGTTTCAATGGTCTCCACAAGAAGCCATGCAGACTCGTGCTGCAACGACAAACCCCAAACGGAACGAAGCTCGGCGAAAAGGCCATAAGAGGTCTAGTTTAATTAGGATGTCTAATCTTCCACGTCCCCAAAGTATAATTAGTAACAATCCTGTTCTTGAAGAGCCAGAAGACGAAATTTCCTCGCCCACACCTTCTCTTGTATCTAAGGCTCCAGTGAGAAGATTCGAGCCAATCAAAAGCGCGAGGCCAATGTCATTACAATCTCTCAAGTCGAATCGACGACTCGGCTTCCAGCCTCCAACATCCGCGACGTTTAACCCTTCACTTAGAGTTCTGAATATGACATCGCGGTCAATGGACAATTCCCCAACTTTGGGAGAGGTTGACAATCCAAATGTATATTCACCCACTCTTTCGGTCTGTAACTACTATACCGAAGCTCCCGATAGCGAGAATGAATTTTTCCAGGCAAGGAGCCCTTCCGTGGAAGCGATTAAAGCTCGGAGACGTGGACGTAATTGCTCGGCAGACTTAACCCGTGATGTTGGGAGACTAATTTCCTTCCTACCACTACCCGACGAAACCACAGATACCCCAGGATCATTACCAAGTCAGCCCCCCAATCGACCTCTACCATGCATAACGTCGTCAGCAGGCCTCCAGCCTTCAAGAATGTCCAGTCCTGCCCCTCCTGTCCTTACAATGTCAATCCCAGGGCACCTCACAGGACCGCGTCCCGAACCCGGAAAACAAACGCGAGATGTGAATTCTCCAGGACCTCGAGACTCGCTCGAAACAACCGTCGGCATGCTGCGTCGCATGAACTCAGAAATATCCCAATGCTCTCACTACAGTCTAGGCTCAGCCGCAAACGAAGACGGCAGTCCAAGCCTACCAGCTCACATGGCCCATCTGAGCAACAATGACCTCGCAGAGGGAGAGCGCGGCAGAAGCAGAGGCTCCAAACATTATCTGTCCGTAGGGAACTCCCCGTCCAAAACCCGTCGGCGGGCAGAGAAGCGTGATTCGCATCGCATTTATAAAGAGCGGCGGCTAAGGAGGATGAACGAGACGCTGAACTCGGAACAATTGGACCTGACGCCCGTCTGCGAAGTTTCTAGTTCGGCCACTGGAGCGAATGAGCTTGAGGTCGTGGGGTTACGGCTTCCTACCGTCTCGAGCTCGGGAGATATAGGCGAGACTCCACCAGCCCCTCATAGATCGAGTCCGAGATCGCAAGCAAGGTGGTCGGATCCCATGTCTGTCGCAGCGGTAAGTTTTATCAGGAGGGAAAGTAAAATGGAGCATCCGGGTCCTCAGACACCGCCGAAGTGGGGCAGGGGGAACAAAGCATTGGGAGTTGGCTTGGTCGGGAGTAAAACGACTTCGATAGTGGACGGTCAAGAGAACACTGAAACTGGGAGGGGAGCCGCACGACCTGATAGCTTGGGACTATACGATCAAGATGGATTTCTAAAAAGCTCTCCGGGAAAAGAGAAGAAGGAATCTGGGAGTGGTTCGAAATTGAGGAGTTTCGTGATGTAGTCTGGGGGCTTGTAGGTTTGGCTTTGCAGCTTCATATTTGAGGTAGTTTTCTTGCCTGTTATTAATTTTTTCATGGCTTGTGCTATTTAATTGGTGTTTGGGAGTTTCGAAGAGAGTACCGTTAGCGCTCAAGGACATCCATTTTGGTCTTTCGGCAACATTCTATTCTATACTTGATATAATCTTTAATTTTATCACTTCTAATTTTGAACCTATAAGCACAGATTCACCTAATGGCTTCACGGGGACAGCGCACATGTGACAGAAGGTTTGCTCTAAAATAATGTCATTTGACTGGGGTATCAATGAGGAGCACCGAGGTGGAGGCGGACTTGGAGACAAAGATACTCATGGGCGACGAAAATATTAGAAGTCATATGAAGAGAAATTTACTTTTTTGTGTCTTACAACAGGTGTAATTCTTTAAGCAGCTAAAACATCCCTCATCGCCGTCTCACTTCTTTTGCACACTTTGCTTCGCGAAACAAATTAGAGGAAATAGTCTTAGTATACTTATAATAAGATGTATACACTTCTTTATATATTTAGGTGTCGTGGTTATAGAAAGTTTAGGCCTTGAAAAGTAAGAGTTTATACAAGATAGTAAGTTCATCCATGGGACTTACCAGGCAGTGAGTGGATGCTGTGATGGAAGGAAATAACGTGGATGTTTTTACTCTCGTCCCATGGATAATGCATCGCTTGTGGAAGGTTCTTTTCTTTGATAAAGTCCTGATCGAGGGCGACGATGCCGAGCTCATTGGCATATGGTACGATCAGCGAGTTGATAAGGATCGTCGTATATGCAAGGCATCAACGTTGTGTGGCGTCTCCGGCACTTGGTTGGAGGATTTGAATGCTTGATTCAACTCGGAAGCAGGGGCAGATCCGGCATTCGCTTAAAGTTAATCTCAGCCAATTACCTGCACATCATTAGCTATTATCTATGCAGAATTGCGGATATTCCCATGGATCTTCTGTTCATTATTCAATATTTATCCGAAGCATCACAGTGGCACAGTATAACATGCACATGCTCAACTCTTGCCTCGCATTAGTCATTGTTGGTAAAGTTGGTAAAGGCAGGATGCATACAAAACTACCAACCTAACAAACTTGACCATGAAGACTGTCGCTGATATCCAACATCAGAGCATGGTAGCTGCTCCTGCCTCTTTCAGGACACCGCAGTAATCGATCTTCCGCTTGCTGATACCTCATTATTCTTTTCAGTCTGCTTCGAGTCTCATGTTCACGCGATCTTCCATACCTTCTACATTTACCCGACTTCGTCAGAGCTAGCTTAACAATGCTAGACATTGGACGCCTCGTACGCCTGGTTCTGATATTAGGCCTTGCAAGCACCACCTACATTCTCTATCGTGCGTGGGAGACACGTCGAGTCCGACGAGCGTTGGTACTACAGGCTGGCTGCAAAAATGTAGCCCAGTATCCTCATGAAGACCGTCTTTGGGGTCACGATCTCATGCGTCAACGTCAAGAGGCAATCAAAGAGGGCCGGCTCATGCCTCTCTACGCCAAACAATTCGCTACCTATGGCAAGACGTGGGAGGAAAACTTCATGGGCACTCGCCTTATCAATACTGCGGATAAAGAAAATATTCAACATATAGCGACCACACCTGACCATTTTGGCCGTAATTTCTCCCAGCGCGGCAGAGTTGGCTGGCCGTTTACGGGGCGTAGCGTTATGTCGACTGATGGGGCCGAATGGAAGCATTCTCGGAATCTTAATAAATCCAACCTTTTCACGCGCTGAAATGTCAGATATTGATGGCTTGGGCCAATATCTCGACCGTCTGATCTCGTTGATACCTGAAGATGGGCAGACTTTTGATATTCAGCCTCTGTTCTAGAAATTGGTAAGATGATGAGTTGGCTAAAAGTCATGTCATTAAGCTGATGCTGACTGAATACTCCAGTTTATCGACATATCAACAGAATTCTTGTTTGGCAAGTCCATGGACTCGCTACTTCCAGACAATCCCTTTGACTATGAGAAATTCTACGCAGCACTAGAACGATCACTCACCGGACTCATGCAGCGGCGACAAGCAGGCAATATGCGCAGCATTCGTTACGCATATGATCCGGAGTGGAAACAAGCCTACAAAAAGGTACATGCTTACATAGACGAGCGGGTCGCAGAAGCATTAGAAAAGACCTCATCCTCCTCCTCACCAAACGAAGCCCCAGAAGGCAAACAAAGAAAATACGTGCTTCTTCAGGAAATGGCCAAGCAGATCCGCGATCCTATCGAGCTCCGCTATCAAATCATCGGCGTTTTCCTTCCGGCCCGTGACACCACTTCCACCTTGCTCAGTAACGCTCTCTTCAACCTAGCCCGGAACCCGCACATCTGGCATCAATTGCGCCAAACAGCACTGCAACTCGACCCGGAAAAGCTAACCTTCGAGTCTCTAAAGTCTCTCAAAGACTTCCGCAACGTCATCTTCGAGACTCTCCGTCTCCAAGGCCCCAGCGGCCGCTCCCAAACCGCAGCGAAGCGCGACACCGTCCTGCCCCGCGGCGGTGGTGCAGACGGCCAGTCCCCCATACTAGTAAAGCGCGGCACACACCTGTCTAGCAATGTCTGGGCCATGCACCACGACCCGGATCTGTACCCCTCGCCCTTTGTATTCAAGCCCGAGCGCTGGGCCGGAAAGCGCCAGTCCTGGGAATTCGTGCCGTTCCTCGGGGGGCCGCGCATCTGCCCGGCCAACCAGCAGGTCCTGACCTATGCAACGTATACGCTTGTGCGGCTCACGAGGGAGTACGCCGCGATTGAAAACCGGGATCCGGTGCTGCAGTATGTTGAGTTGACGAAGATGACAACGAGGAGTCGGAATGGGGTTAAGATTTCACTGATAAGATGACTGGCATATGTGAAAATGCTGGAGAGGTATGCCACAACTACTAGAAATATGATAGGAACTTTCTTCCAGAGCGCCTGTGCTATAAGCCGGCAGCTTACTAGACAAAAGTACTCGTCTATTGCAACGCAAAGTACCTATGCCCAATCAATAAAACTTGCAGCCGCTGTGGCAGGAGGACTCTTGGGTCGAAAGCTTCGAGTAATTTTCAAAGTCCCGCTATGGAGAAAAGAGGGACGTGACCCTAAACAATAGAGGTTGAATGCAAAAAGACGTCATTATACTGTATCTTAAAACGTTTAATCTGATGAAAAATTTGCAGTTTGAGATTTGGTGCAATGCAATATAGTACTATACCTAAATGGCGAGAGTAGTTCGACATCTTAGCTTTGTAGAGTAGGAAATAGTCAAAGTGTTCCAGCATTCCAAGGCTATAACAACTATTGATATTATGAGGAATGGTGCACGCAGGAATACTCTCGTGTTCTTTCCCAAGATGTCTGGGGGACCTTCGTTTCAAAAAAGAATAGTTCGCTGAGGGATAGAGGGTTAAAGGTTTCGCCTCCCCCTTTTTTCGCTCGCTTACACCCTCTTTAACGCAGCGACGCCAGATAGATACTGTACATCGTGACTGTACAAACAAGTAGGTATTTATAATAATGATTCGACAAACAACCAATCAAACGAGCTAAATTCCGAAAGCAAGTTTGATTAATCGTCTATTTCAAATGACACTCGATCACAGTCTGACTCCCCAGCTTATTCCTCCAGATCTTGACCAGCTTCAAACCAGCAGAATCAAGCAAAGTCGAGAATTCCCTTTCGGAGCGTTCTTTCCCGCCTATGATGAGCATGCAGAGATCCATCCAATACACAGTCTTGTCGACGCCTTCAGGCACGTCGGGCACTACCATCTCGCCAATCAGAAGTCTCGAGTCGGGCGCCATTGCTGCCGCGATGTTTTGCAGGATTTTGCGACACTCGGCGTCTTGCCAGTTATGCATGATTCGGCGGAGGTAGTAGATTTGTGCGTCTGGGTGATGGTAAGTAATGATTGCAGAATTAACGTACCAATGCCGCTGAAAAGCCCAATATTTGGGCGGAGGTCATCGTTGTAAATCAATACGTCAGTAATCAAAAGCCGCTTGGCACCAAGTGGAAGACAACAAAGTCCTGAAAAGATAGGTAGAAATGAGCTTACTCTTTACAGGTTGTGATTGGAAAAAGTCAATGACCATCTTCTCCACCCCAGGTATCTGCTCATCAGGTACGGCATCTAGAACCGCCTTGCGATCTTGTAGGATGACTTTTCCCTTACCCATGTCTCCACCAGCAGCCTCGATCTCTTGCTTGATCTGCAGTAGACTCTGGCCTCTTCCACCAGCCACATCGACGATAAAAGCTCTAGAAGGATCCGCATCGGCTTTGAGGAGTGAGGTAAAAGGAAACATTCCTAGGACAGGCAAAGCGCTTTCCTGCGTTGTCATGGCGGTGTTGAATCTCTTCAACCGGTCTGGATGATCGAGTAGGAATTCGTAAAATGTCTTCCCTTCTGCATCATTGCCCCACGAAAATGGCGATTGCCTGGGGTTGAAGATCGATCCGGGCTCGTGAGTTGCTACGTACTCAGGCATTTTATATGCTATGGGTGCAATCTCGTCGACGCTGAAACTCGTTATCTTTCAAGACTCTAGATCCTGATTTAGGAACGTGTACTTGCCAGAGATCCCAGAACTCTACCTCGGCAGTATCGAGAAAGGCTAGAGAGCGAGAAGTATGCGCATATACATCACCACCGAGTGCTTTCAGAACGCCAGTCGAGGTGAGAACTCTAATCAATCGAGCTGATAATGTCGATGATTAGCTCAACCTGACGAGATTGAAATTTCAGCTGTCGACAAGGAGAGCAACATACTCAGAACTTCTTCATTTGTTCCGGTATTAGCAGCGAGTTGTTTTGAACTGATACTACCCTCACGTGGTATCTTCTCCAAGACATTCATTTGGCGCAAAGTGCGGACGGCAGACGTCTCTGAGTACTACCATTGTGAGCTTTGATGGCCGATTTAGGGCGCAGAAGCTTCTCGGCGGCAGATGTCTCTTACATTAGTGAGCTGTCTGAACATGGCCTCTGTGGGATCCTCCAATTGGTAATGCAATGCTTCCAGCTGTCCAAGCATATTGACGCGTGCAACATGGTCAGGTTTGTCGATATTGTACCCCTTTGCTGCCGCGAGCAGGGCCTCAATCGAGGCCACGAGATTTGCGTTAGGGGACATGGTTTTGAGGAATCAATTGAAGACTTGAAGAGGTTATAGTAGACTGATTTCTTGCATGAACGAGCCAGAACAAGCTACGATATTCCCGCGAAGTACCTAAGTGTACGTCCGTGCTCCGTAAGTGGGATGATGGCTCTGGTGGCTCTTACTTAAACCAGTACAGTACGGAAATAGGTATTTAAGTTTCAGTGGTGGGCCCTCACCATAGAAAAAGCAATTGAGAAAAGTAGAAGGAGGTTATGGTATACTTATCGAGAAGCATGACTCCAATAATATTGACTGGAAAGTGAAATACTCAACATCCCCCACGACGAGGATCATCGATGCGGGGTACACTGTAGGGGAGGGGTACTGTACGAGTACGGACCGTGCCGCAAATATGATGCGATGCCACTCAACAATGTAGAGGGAGCAATTATTGCGCTGATCGTCGAGTAACCCCCTCTCTTCTACGCCGAAGTTGTCAGACCGTTCCACAGACATACTCCCGATTCTACAGTCTATACGTACGATGGCAGCGAACAATATCGAACCGGATGACTTTGATGTAAGCTGGGCAAAAAGCCGCATGGGAGGGAGGGTATATATATGTTAACAACAGCATAGTTTGACGATGAAGGCGCGGACTTTGGCTCAGCGTATGTCCCACCAACCCGGCCCACCATATCGTGGAACGTGTTCCTGCAGCTGACAGTGCATTTACCCGCATAGCGAAAGCTCCACGGCATCGATTTCCTCAAGCCTGGTGCAAGGCGTTGATGAGTATGGAAGAAGATATGCGTCATATGGGAAAGCAGGCAAGAGCACCTCTGTCGCGCATGCGCGCATCTACATTTACAGCTGGCAGAGACTAATATTTGGCAGAGTATGGCATGCCGATTGACGAGGAGGAACTGGACCGAATCGACCTGAAACATCGACTGTACACAATGCTGCTGGGCGAAAAGTTGTTCCTGGCTCCAATTCAGCCGAACCCACAGCGAATATTGGACCTTGGTACAGGCAGTGGTAAGCCTACGTCGATATCCTCAAGACACTCAGGCGTTGATGGTTCGACTTGAAAGGCATCTGGGCGATAGACATGGCAGATGCCTATACATCAGCAGAAGTGCTAGGAGTAGACCTGGCACCTATTCAACCGCAATGGTAAATATATATCCGCCCGCTGCATGGCTCTGCTGATGGTGCGCAGGGTTCCTTCCAATTGCCGCTTCGAGATTGACGATGTAGAAGAACCGTGGACGTACGGGCGCACATTTGACTTCATCCACGCCCGCGACTTTCTCTTCTCGATTCTTGACTGGCAAAATCTCATCAACTCATGCTATGAGTATATCCCCCCCCTCTTTCCATGCTGTATATCATTTGGTATTCCTATGCTGAACCATCTGCACGTAGGAGCACAACCCCTGGTGGCTATACCGAACTACAATGCCTCCTTCCAGAAGCACATTGCGACGATGACAGCACACCCGCCGATCAAGGTGTCCGAGAATTCAGCGACAAAATCTGTGACGCCTCTGAAATTGCCGGCTGGTCGCTCCGAGAACCAAAGAATTACAAAAAGTACATGGAGAATGCCGGGTTCGAGGACGTGACGGAAGTGCGCTATAAGGTGCCCACATCGTCGTGGCCCAAAGATAAAAGGACAAAGATGTTAGGTGCTCTTGAAATGCAAAGTCTGCTTCAAGGAGCATCGGCATTCAGCCTAAGAGCCTTTTCCAGGGCGTATGGCTGGACGCAAACGCAAACAGAAATGTTTTTGGTGAAGATGAGGAACGACGTGCGGGATTTGAGATATCACACCTACTATGAATTGTGAGTATCCTTTCGCTTCAACATATCGGACGGTTCGGTTCTTCAAAACGCGAGACCACATACTGATTTGTCTCGATGTATAGCATTGTATGCTATGGCCGGAAACCTGGATCGATTCCAGAAGCATCTGATTCTGCGGTTAGTTTAGGAAACTACGGCGAATGATGAGTTGGAATGGGGCAATAGTTTGCATGCGATAGACTCACGCGACAAAAATAATGAATACCCAGGATAAGCCCCGATGAAGAGGATTGTGTTGGGGTAGGGAAGTTTAGAGCACCATTCGAGAGAGCTCGCAGATATACCGGACTGGGATCAATAATTCCCACACCGCTGGAACACTTTTCAGTATACCAAAAGGTACGTAGAGGAGAACTGCAACATAACACAGCTCTAAAGAAAGCCCCATTTTACCAACAAATCGATGCCTTCTGGTGAACATACCAAGTATAACGTCCTCAAGGCTAGAGCCAGGTATCGCCACCGGAGAAGCGGCAAATGGGTCCCATGTAAAGCCTTTTCTAGACGGGCAGGACAGACTCCCTCCCTCTGTCCCTCAGAGGAGTCGAGATTGGTGCCTATCCTATCAACATAAAACGGTCCCCAAGAACCATCTGCGTATCCCAAGGCCAATTGCCCTCAATCGCCGTTTCGGGGACAAATACAGCTTCACGGATAAATTGGATTGACCATCCCGTATCCATGAAAAGATGTATATGGTAAGAAGTGAATTTAAGAGGGCGAGATGTGTTATTATATATTATATTATATATAGAAAGATTAATACTCCACATATCATGTAAACCCAATATACAAATCTTCATATTCAATTGTTACACAAAGTCCACCTAATGGGGATATAAACCCCGCTCACACCTTCCACCATCTCACCCCATGAGATCCAACAACTTCTTTCCTGTCTATTTCTATTCTGATACTCTCCCTTAATCATGCAACTAACAGTTCCATGCTATTTACCAGCTCAATCGCTCAAATCTACCTACCTTCCAAGCAACACCTTATACATGCGCATCAACTAGTTCAGCCAAGCAAAATGTAGAGCGTTTATGCATACGGAGTGATGACAAGCCAGCGGCATGTTCTAATTTCGTGGCGAGACGAGCTTTACTGTATGGCTTTGGACTTTCAGCTCAGCTCCGCTCGAGGATCGATTGACTACGGAATACCCTTTTTCCTTTGTCATAGCAGGCAGGGTGGGATCTATCACTCAAGCCTCAGGGGATTATGGGAATTCGTGTGGGATGCTGGGGGTAATAAGGTCGGTCGGTGTTTTATGAGTGAGTGCTACTGTGCTAGGGTTGAATTTCAAGACTAGATTACTAACTTGAGATATTATTCGTTGTAGATGATTCGAGTTTGTTACAGTTTTGTTTTGGGGGAAAAGGGGGAAATAAGACGCTCTGGCGCTCTGGAGGGGTGGAAATTTCAGCATTCAAGTGCAAATTGAGAAGATTTAGCTTCAGGCAAGGTTAGATCTATGGACCTAAAATTCATGCGTGTTCCTCGAGAGTCTCAATGGAGCGCAACAATGTGATAATCCCTCGGCCCTGTATCTTCTATACTACGGTGGTCTCTCCTGTTGTCAAAACCATCTCCAATGAAGGTATAATGGCGAACGGGCAATCGAGCTGTTGGCGGCAGTCGCAACGGCGGACGGCCAAAGCTTGGCCGTGACTTCAAATGAATCTCGATAGGAGACCTTAAGCTAGATTCCACAGACAGGTCGACGGTGCCTTTGTATCCTCGAAGAATAATAAGGGCTGGATGTGAGTTGCTTAGAAACAAATGATCTCCTTTTTCAGCGCATGCTGGTACTAATGCATTCAAGCTATTCTCCAACAAAGCTACACGACGACCTTCGATGATACTCCTCTCGCCCTGTATTCTAGTGGATCTCACTAAATAGTCCGCGATTGTCCGAGTATTTATAGACCCAGCATCTGAAACCCCCAGAGCCCATAAGATGTTCTCTTTCAAAAGGCCACTCATATTGGCGTAGTAGTCACGCATGTTCCGTTCAACTAAAGGGAGCAGGACTCCATGCCCTAGCTTTTGCCGCATTCGCCCGTAAATCGCTCGGTATAATAAAATATGCTTCTCTGTAATTAGCCCAGTATATGTAGGTATATTTGGGCGTCCCTTATCAGGGTCATTATCTGGCGTATAGTCCCAGTTGTGTAGATCTATCACCTGACTGGTACTTCGGATACGAGACAAGGGGTACCCAGGTAAACCAAGGATCGGGTTTCCTTGGACAAACGTAGGAAACACGTGTTCACTAGGTATGAAGTGGGGCGCTTGTATCAACCCACTGATGGGAACGATTTGTTGCTGTTCTCGCAATGTCCAGTCTGGTGCCCATGATGCCAGGCCGGGCAACCGAGCTTGTGGACGGGTCGTTTGGATCTGATGAGCGATGGACAGATCCCCTGAGTTTTCAATAGCCCTCTGGGCAAACTCATTGTAGACCTCTGCCACCGTCTTTTCGTAGTCGATAGTAATGTCTTGTCCTGTCCAGTTCGAGTCAACCTGTGAGACAGCACGCACGGAAGCTGAACTCTGCTGTGTTGACACTAAATTCGATTGCAAAGGACTTGAAGTCGAATCCTTGTGTTCCAAACCTTCCAAGCTCAGAAGTGTAGAAGCTCGACTTATTGCTCTAAAGTCAACTTGATCTCCACTGATATGATTGACCATTCCGATGTGGGCGAATATCATATCTCGAGGATCTTTGGCACCTAGTCCACTCCGTGAACGCACTAGATCAAGAAGCGTCTGGTGCTTTTGAATTAGTTTCCTGTTGATGTTGCCAATTTGAATCTTCTCCCGCGCTTCTTGCATGTCCATCATGAGTTGCTCGGTCTCGGGAAGTTGTGGCTGTGGTGTACTGGTAATGTTTGCCCGCGAATTCAGATATCCGTCTATATAAGACAAAAAGCTTGGGAGTCTTCCCCAGTTCACGCGGGATTGACCGCATTGAATTATTGGGTTTTGTGACAGTGCCAACTCCTGCAGTACCCAGACACGGGTAAACCAAGTCCGAGAGAGGATTGAGGAAACGATGCAGCTTTTGATGGTTTCATCATAGTCCAGAGGATCAAGAGAAGAGTCATCTTTCAAGGCCTCCATAGCCCGATCCGAATTTTCGTCGGATTCTCCGAGATAGATGATAGTGTTTCTCGCAGCAGCGTAGATAGACCCCATAAACCGAACCTGCTGACTTCGCTCTTTCGCATTCTGCTGGTTGATACAAACAGCATCCACCCAAAGAGGAAGCTCTTTTGACTCGTGTCGAATAGAACGTAGAGCACGGACGAGATTGGCGGTCACGTGCCGTTCGACTCCCTCTACAAATATTCTGCCTTGTTCTTCCTCATTACCCCAGACATAGGACAGTGCAATGTAATGAAATGTGAGATCATTTTGACACTCAGATAGCGTGGTGTGTTGAAGATTACAATGTATTTCGTCGTCTTTGGAAGCTGCTCGAGGCTGAAGAAGCAGAAGCCTGATCGAGTCTGAAGCTGTCAAGTTTTTGTAGCTGAACTCTGCAGACATGTTGCTCTCATCTCACAACTAATGTTCTTTGCAGGTATTTCCGGGGAAATGGAGAGGAACAGCTAAGTGCAAAAGTAGGTGAAGAGTGAAGCTGTTGTATTTACTCAGGTACCCAAAGTTGCTGACTGCTGACCAGAGTTCGCTTGCATGACGCTATTCCTAGAACAGTCCGCCTAGCGGCAAAAAGGGAGTCAACTAAATTGACTGTGATTTCTAGAAGCAAAGGAGCCGGCCCTTCTTTGTTGCTTTCGCTGACCGAAAAAGCCGTTGAAGGAGGAGTATGACTTGTAAGGAGGATGTTATATATGGAGAAGCTATGAAAAGCCTGCAGCAGTTGTGCAAAGAAGCGCAAACATGGCTCTTTGAGCAACGAAACCGAAATTTGAGATTGGCACAATCGAAAGGCAAGGGGTGGCATTTGCTAGATTTGCCTATCATAGATTCATCGCACTTTCAGCAATGATGTCGTGCATATCTGAGCCAAATTGCATAACGGACCAGCCAATACCATCATTTCTGAGGCGCCGGAACTCTCATATGCAGAGGTGTGGATGGTGATAGGTAAGGAGGGGGGGGGGGGGAAGGGTGATTAGGTTGCTTGATGTAATGAACGGAAAGACAACTTCCTACCTATCCAGCTTGTACTACATCGCAAAGTACATACGTGAGAATCATTTTGATATTTGCATCTAACAAGAAATCGTGATTATTAGCAATGCAAAGAGAAGCAAGACATGGAGTAGAGTACCCACTTTCGTGGACATTGCCCTTTCCTCCCACTAAACTGTGTGCCTGGAGTGCCCTCGCACCTGCACGTTCTACTTGTATTTTGTTCGCTCCAAGAAATCACCCGACGAAAGCAGCAACCTAAGAAGTAAGAAGATCCGCAACATTCATTGGCATCTCATCGATCTGAGTTGAGTAGTATACTATCTCTCGTTAGCTTTGACTTGAGTACCGAAAACTTGGACATACACTCAATATCGCGCAAAATTCTGACATCCTCACTAGTCACGAAATTGATCGCAACACCCTTCCGTCCAAAGCGACCACTTCGACCAATGCGATGAATATAGTTCTCACGATTACTTGGCAAGTCGTAGTTGATAACCAAAGACACCTGCTGAACATCTATACCACGAGCCCAGACATCAGTGGAAATCAATACCCTCGAATTTCCTTGACGGAAGTCTTGCATGATACTGTCTCTCTCCTTCTGTGGCATCTCTCCGTGCATTGAAGACACGGTGAAATTGGCCTCTCGCATCTTATCGGTCAGCCAATCAACCTTTCTACGCGTGTTGCAGAAAATGACTGCTTGTGTGATAGTAAGAGTATCGTAAAGATCGCAGAGAGTGTCGAACTTCCATTCCTCCTTTTCAACCGCAATAAAGTATTGCTTGAGACCTTCTAGGGTCAATTCATCACGCTTGACCAGAATGCGGACAGGGTCGGTCATGAACTTGGTCGTCATATCAAGCACATCGTATGGAAGGGTAGCGGAAACAACGACTACTTGGGTCGCGGGAGGGAGATATCGGTAGACATCGTAGATTTGCTCTCTGAAACCGCGGTTCAGCAGCTCGTCAGCCTCATCGAGTACCAGCATCTTAATATTGCGAGTTCGAAGGTTTCGGCGGCGAATCATATCGGCAACACGACCTGGAGTTCCTGAGACAATGTGTTGGCCGTATTCGAGTTTGCGGATATCCTCTCCAACGTTGGTGCCTCCAATACACGCATGGCATTGGACATTCATATAATCCCCTAAAGCCATCACAACCGACTGAATCTGGGTCGCAAGTTCTCGGGTAGGGGAAAGTACAAGGGCTTGAGTTTCGCGGACAGCTGTGTCGATAACTTGCAGCATACTGATCGAGAAGGTCGCAGTCTTACCAGTACCCGATTGCGCCTGGGCGATGGTGTCGCGACCTTTACAGATTTGCACGATGGCGCGCGACTGGACAGCAGAGGGTGATTCATAGCCGTATGCATAGATGCCACGGAGAAGATTTTCTGGGGTTTATTAGCTTGTTGGAGTTGGAATCGGCGCATGAAGCCTTACCCTTTAAGTGCACTAGAGGGTAGAGAAGTTAGCATCTATTATCATTGAAGATTGAATCGTTACTAGAAAGGAAAAGAGTCCATAGCATAGAGAGCCGGAGATCATAAGAAATCTAGATGTTGAGCCCGAGGGAGACAAGGAGAGGCTATTCTTACTGTCCTGGAACGTGGGAGCCACGGTCACGTCCTTGGAGGTGGTGAACTCCATGCGCTCTTCAGCTTTGCGATCAATTCCGTCTGCCATAATTGCGGTGTGATTTGTTGATGGTAGAAATTTGATATGGTTTTGCAGATTTTGTTTTTGTCTTGCGTTGCAGTCGCGAGCGCGAGGCAGATCTGAAGTAATCTTTAGCGCTGCGTTAGTGTGGTCTGGGGAAGAGGAAGGCGAGGCATGGCATGGCAAAAATGATTGGCGGGCGCAACAGTGGTAGAGCCTCAAAACTTCACAACATCAACACTTGAACACCATCCACTCACAGCTATACGACAGCACCCTTTCCTAGACGGCTACATACTGTCTAGGACAAGACAGATATAATACAGCCATTGAACCCTACCTGTTACTGATCCTGGAAAGCTGCCGCCATGATCTTAGAAGAGCAGAGATTCCTCCACGAGGATCTCGAGAGGCTAGAGCAGGCCATCAGCGACCGTGTTGCTGAAGAACCTCGTCAGGTGCGTGTTTTATCCAGTCACAGAATATCCAGCTAACATCCTACCAGGCTCGGGAAAGGTTAAACAGAGACCATCAGATCGCTGGATTCCTCGACCGCATTCAAAACCAATCGGAGCGATTACTCGATATCTACAATGATGCAGAGGGTACGCGGAGTAAGGAGATCCAGTCCATATCCACCGGGGAGCCTCTGAAAGAGTTCTACAATCAGCTATCCGACATCAAATCATTCCACCAAAAATACCCCAATGAACCTGTCGAGAATCTAGAGAGAGCGTACAAAAAGAAAGCTCATGTTGAAGGCGAACCTACAATTTCAGAAGTCGATAACATGTTCACTGGAGAAGAAGCATTTGGCAAATTCCTCGATCTTACGACCGTTCACGAACTCTACCTAAATCTACCTGGAATTAAGCGTGTCACTTACCTCCAATACCTTTCCACGTTCGACTCCTTCAGACCCCCGAGCTGCAACATCAAGCGACCGGATAAAATGACCGATCAGTATTTTGGTTTTGTTGGTCGGCTCGCGGATTACCTGGAGAGTTTCATGCGAAGAACAAGACCTCTCGAGGATCTCGGTAAAGTTTTCGAGAGTTTCGATGAAGATTTTCGCAAAGCCTGGGATAACAATGAGGTCGAGGGGTGGCAACTAGAAGCACCGGTGCCTTCCGAAGGCTCGAATGGTGGAGATTTATATTGCGCGGATTGTGAGAAGGATTTCAAGAACGAAAATGTCTACAAAGCGCATCTGACGGGAAAGAAGCACATTCGGGCAGCAGAATCGAGAGCAGCACGGCAAGCCGAGGCAGGGGCCGATACCAACGGATCATCGACTAGAGGAACGTCGACATTACGACTAAAGGAACGTGCTATCGCGGAACGAGAGTACAGGGTCAAGCGCCTCGCTGCGGCAATGTCGCAGGAGAGAGCTGATACCAAAGTCAATGTCGAGCGAAAGCAAGGTATGACGGAACGTGAGCGACAGATGGAACTGGACGCACTTTTTGTGGAAACCTCTGCTGCAGCCCCTGAAGATGGCGACTCTGGTAGTGAATCAGACAGCGACGAGAAAATTTACAATCCATTGAAGCTACCGTTAGCTTGGGACGGGAAGCCTATTCCGTTCTGGTTGTACAAGCTCCACGGTCTTGGTGTCGAGTTCAGGTGCGAGATCTGTGGCAATTACGTGTACATGGGAAGAAGAGCTTTTGATAAGCATTTCAACGAGGCGCGTCACATTTACGGGCTGAAATGCTTAGGCATCACGAACACGACTTTATTCAGAGAGATCACTGATATTGCCGATGCGGAGAAGCTGTGGGAGAAGATTCAGCGGGACAAAAAGAAGGGCCGGACTGACGAAACGAGCGTGGTTCAGATGGAGGATGCTGAAGGCAACGTCATGCCTGAAAAGGTGTACTATGATTTGCAGAAGCAAGGCTTGCTATAGAGCTTTGCGATGGGCCCGATGTAAAAAGTACCAATGTAACTTATTAATCCCAACCCTTTGCGTAAGCTAGTGTCGAAACTTGGGACCTAGTGGTGCTACTGAGCTAGCTGTCATTCTGTCACTTGCTGCTATTTTTTCTTGGTGCCTTTCAGTAGTACCGCACAATCAGAGTTGCAATAAGTCTCCTTATAAAAATCCTTCTTCCCCTCTGAATTTTCCAAACTTTTACCTTTCTCCTCTGCACACACAAGATTAAATCCTTTCTTCTCCCACATTTTTCCACGGAAATATTTCTTCCAATTCTACCACCAATACAACACAACACATCATCAAGATGAAGTGTACCCTCATCTCCGCCGCGGTCCTGCTCTTCTGCCACGCAGTCCAAGCAGCGCCCGTTGCCCCAGCCGCAGACCGCCAACCCACCATGCCCCGTCCAATGCCCTCCTTCATCGCCGCGGCTCTCAACATCGACTCCGTGCTCGCCGGCAACATCCTCGTCGGACGTCAGCACGTACACCCACATGGACAGACACTCTCACCCATACCCGTCAAAGGCCCCTCGCCCGTCGATGTCACAGCCGCCCCAGCGCTCCTAGAGCGCATCATCCCAACCCCACCCATAGGCTCCCCCGCGCCGACATCTTTGTCCATCCCGACCGAGCTCAGCGGCATGCACCAACGGCCTACCTTCACCTTCACGGCCGAGCCTGTCTCTTCCCAGACATCTGCACGCCCCCCTCCCCATTTCGGCATGCACCCGGCCCCGTCATCGTCGGCTCAACCTTGACCTTTGAGCCAGAGCCAGAGCAGTCTACACCTACGCCTACACCTGAACCATCGGCGCTGGAGGCGCGATATCTCCCCCAGCCATCGCAGATCGTGGGGCCGCATGGCGTTCCTGTCTCTGCCATCTAAACTCGAACTGCTGTCCACAATGGCAAGGCGATCCCTACCCCGCCGACTGCCAATATCTGAGATGGACGCTCGAATCTATTCTAGGGCTGGAGTTTGTTGCTGTCAAGTTGGATATGGAGTTGGTATTAGCGTCTGGTGTTTAAAAGAGAACGGCAAGGACATCATTGGTGTGTAAAAGAGAATGGCAAAGGGGTCATTTCATTGGTGTTTAGGGTGCCAACTGCCCAAGGGTTTTCCTTTATGGTATAGTTTGTAAAATCCATGCATTTGCTGTGTGATAATCATTGGTGGTAATCTAAGAAGCTCATCGCAACCCATCCCATAAATATAACGCTGTCATCCAACCACTCCGTGAGTATGTGTTCCAGAACAGAAAAATGTTTGTAAAAATATCATCGCAACCTCCGCCTTCACCATCTTCACCACACCATATCATACACCTCACCTCTCATCCAACGCCACCTCAAACATTCTCCTCCGCTGCCGCCACCACCGCCTTCTTCCTCGCATCCTCATTCTCCTTCTCGCAAACCTCACATCCACACCCATCATCAAACCACTTCAACATCCACTCCCTCTTCCCCGCCCTACTCACTCCCTCCCAATAGCCACCTTCCTCTCCCAATCCCAACGGATCGCCCACATAAGATATCTTCAACTCTTCTCCCTTCTTAATATCTCGATCTGCAATGCAGATCACGCTGCTCGACCCAGGCTTCTCAACTTCTCCCTCAGCAGTGCCAGTGCGCAGCCAAGATATTTCAGTTGCGTTAGAATCGGGGACCGCGCCGCCATGCCATGTGACATTAGGCATGCAGGAGTGGTTGAAGAACAGATAATTCGGATTCACGTTCACTTGATTGACTTTCTCGCCTTGAACTGGACCTGCGGGGGTGGAGTAAGTGAGCTCAGTGGATGCCATGTTTGCGTTGTTCTCGACTCGCCAGTAAATGGTCTGGATGACCTCCTGGGTGAAGATTTGCGAGGAGAAGACGTCAATGCCAAGCTGTAGCAGGATTTGCGTTGGTGCCACGACATTTTCGAAGAACTGCCAGTGGTGGGCCGACTCAGGTGTTAATATATCAGGATGTGGGTAGTTGGCTGCCATTCTTGCGACTAAGGGGTGCTGCAGTGGGTGAGTAATTGCAGACGAAGAGGATTTCATATCGCTCAGGACAATGGCTATAAGACGTTTAAACATGATAGGCCTCCAGCGGGAGCCGTACTCGCCATTTTCCCCCAATGCTCCAATCAAACTTGATGTATAGACCCAATCAAATTCCTTCCCGCAGAGCAACGAGTGGTACCCATCAATGGCATTATTATGGCACTCTTGGCTACAATATGCCACACTTTTACAGCAATCTGGGTGATGGACGTCTTTTGGGTTGAGATACGGCATGCGGAGAGAGGCATTGCAGCCATCACACCAATCGAGTTGGTTCGACCGAGCATCTGAGATACCAAGGAGGGTCCTATCCACAAGAATAACCTCATCTTCCTTGATATCACGGGTTGCAAAGATCCCAAGCGGTCCGACATCTTCGCCCTCCCTCTTAACTCGTTTCGTCGGGGAGATTCCCTCGGGGCCCCAAACGACTGATCTGACTTGAGCATTCTCACCAAACTCCTTATTAACATCTCTCACCAGAGCTGGTGTGCGCCAGAAGAGGCTTTCATCTACCCACGGATATCTCTTCTGAAAGATCTTGCCGCTTCTCGTCAGTTCCCGGACATTCTTAGGTTTACAACCCGCTGCAACGAGCTCTTGGTGGGCCGTCTTGAAGTCTTCTAGCAGCTCCTTCTTAAGTTCGAGCAATTCGGGATCGCCAGGGAACTCCTTCAGTGCCTTTTTAGCCTCTTGAAGCCCATCCCAAGAAGCACTGCAGCCCTTCAACCCATCCAAAAGAAGTTGGCTGGCTTGTAGCCTAATCTCCTTGAGCTCTTCCGCAATGATCAAGCTGGATGCGGTTCGAAGTCTAAATTGGATGGCTGTACGGACATCATTGGCGAGGCTTGGGAGAGAAGTGATCTGGGCGGTGTCCGAGCCAGCTTGTACAAGCAAAAGGGCCCTATATGCATTTGCGACACATATGTCTGTATAACCCAGTTTGCAATCTACGCTACTGAGATCAACGTATATGGATGGGTCATATGGTGACCTGGTGAGGTCGTCGAGGAGGGCCTTACGCCAATTCTTTACTGGTTTGAGATTGCCCTAAATATGTCAGTCATCGCAACGGGGTGAGATAATGAATTGAAGCTGGAACTAAAGCTTGAGTTGAGTGATACGTACAGATGCTTGTGTATATGCTGCTTGTGTGGCATACACTTGGGAAGTGCCCATCCAGTCAGCATCAAGATTTAGCCTTTTGGCTAACTTCTTATCAGTCTCCAAGTTTGACTTGGCCGGATTCACAGTAATCGGGGCTTCAAGGACTGCGTCCGCAATCTCAGTCTCCAGCTCACAGTCTGATAATGGCGGACTCGGCAAAGCCGCAAGACTGGTTTCACTGGCCACTGCCTTCTTACTGGTAGCATTTGACAACTTCACAGCGTCCTCTCCATTGCTCCAAATAGGAGGGCCAAGGCCAGATTCAGATATAGCGCCATTCTGGTGGCTGCTCACTGGAGAGCTGTGGGAGCTATAGATAGTTGACGCGTCAGAGCTTGAGTTGGCATCTTCATAAACTGGCGTCTGCGGAATAAAATGCATGGTAAAGGAGTAATGATATGTTTATTGAGGTGCGTATGGTGGGTAAAGCTTGCTTGGTCCCGATTGTTTCCGTGATTTCTGTTTCAGTGAATTAGCATATTTCTACATCGTGAATAAGACTGGGGCTGTTCAAGTGAGAGGAAGGAATGCTATGTATCTTTATGAAGTTGAATGTGATTAAATCCATTCTCCAGGGCGTTTGTGCCACGAATCAGATGCAAGCACCCGTGGCCGGCCCGACGGTAAATAGAGAGACAGAGAGAGCAAATCAATGCAGACTTAATTAAAGTGGCTAGGCATAGTCGAGGATGTGTATCGCAGATAGAAGAGAGGAAAAAGGATGTTATCATATTACGTTTTAGGGAACATAACGTACCTGTACTTCGTGTCTTGCAGCAGCGTCGATCCGATTGGTCGGCCTGAGGAAGGGGGCCGTTAGCGAGAGCCAATGCCAGTGAAGTCGAAGAAAAGCCACGGCAATTGATTGTTTCAAGTAGCTGTCGTGAGTGTTGTGTGTTTAGATGGAAAGGAAGAAAGAAAGGACTGCAGCAACTCGAAGTCAGCCGCTGCTATCTCCTTGAAGGTATTCACTTGGCTATTGATAGTGGAATGCAGAGCAAAGAGTAATCTTTGTAGACGCACCTTGCTTGTATGAGAAGCAAAATTCAAGAGAGTGCGATAATGGTGGGGGAGTTGTGAAAAGGGATGGGTAGTGTGAGATTGGCGGTGGTGATAGTGATGGTAATGGGTCAGTGATGTCGATGGTCGTGGTTGTTGGAGGGTTGGAAGTTGGAGGAGAAGGTTTTATACCCACCGAGACTGCTGAACGCTCTTTTCGAACCAGTGCGAGTGAAGATGTCAATTTCTTAAAATGGCTGGTCATTCATTAGGACTTCGCGAACAAACTTTCCCATCGAGCGTCTTTCATGAGAAACTTGGGTGAATCAAGCGAAGTGGCCACTTGAAATGTTTCTTGCAAAAGAGTCCCTTTGAAGTATTTATCCTAATAACTTCAGGTGATTTGACTTCGTGATTGCACGGGTTGCGGGGATGAGATACCGATCAGGACAACTCGCAAATTAAGTCAGACCGCCCTAGAAGGATGGTTTTTTTTTTTGGTCTTATGTTTCAATTGTCAGGCGAAGGCGCTCAGTTGTCAAGTACGTCTCGGCGTAGCAAAAAGTTGGAGGGACAACGCCTTCCTGGAAAATTAAGTCTCCGCCTGATAATTAGGGGGCGTGGGGTTGTCATAACAACTGCAAAATTACAGCAACTCTCTGGTTGACAGCAAAGGCCTAGGTTAGTAGAGTTAAAAAGAACTCGTGACTTTCGAGACCTCTTCCCAACTGATATCTACTTGAAATCAATACAAGATTCTTGGCACTACGCGACTCGTGAACTTATATGAAAGTCGCGCTCCTAAAATCTATCTTTCCCAACGAGCTGATTCAAATTATCACTCTCGTAGATGTAAATCTGATTTTATAAGACCATGACTTGAAAGAAAACGGCTTTTCTTCCTATAAGAAGTGAACCGGGGATTGGAAAAGCTAGCAGTAGAGACTTAGAAGACATAGATTCAAAGAAATCCGAATACGTAGCTAAATTTTATTGCATGACTTCAAAAGACTGCCATCGGGCTGCTGAGTTATCAAGGTCTCGCACATTTAGATTTTGTAGGTTTTTCTTTAAGTTGAGGACTTCGAAGTAAGCATAAGGTTATCTCGACATCCAAAATAACAGCACCGCATTCATTCTTCCCATCAAGGCTTTCACTTGTTTTGACGATGGAAAGAGTTTAAATGGGGGCAACTTCTCACTCCACAAAGTTGAGGACAATAAGATAATTGTTGGTATCACAGGTGCTGATACGTGTAACGTAATCACTTCTCTACTACGTAGTATAGACTTGATTCTGGTTAATAATGCTTAGCATTTAGGTAGTATCATAGATATAAAGAGGTAATGCCTCTTTGCTAACTAAGCTATGCTAAATCATATAAGCTAGATCACATAAGTAGAAAGGTTAGGGAGGATCCTAGATCGGATCCTAGAGCGGATCGTATATCCCAATAATAATTAGATTTCTTATTACTTTTAAACGTACTAGATCAAGTCACTAACACTTTCTATAACGCTTTCTGTGTATAGAACAAACTTAAAAATATGAAAATGGCGCTTCGCTCTGTAGAAGTGTTCGTTAAGGTATTTTGTGAATAAAACGTCATCTCATATTAAAGAGCATATAAATTATACCAATTTGTGCAATACCATATCTGGGACAGTTCCTTTCTATGATTCACGTCCAAAGTTGATATACTCGTAGAGGATGATTTGGTGAAAGGATGCGAGAAACATCATGAACTCTTGGCTCACTCCCACCTGTCTCTTTAATTAATAAAAACAGGTGGGCTTCCTGTAGTGAGCACCATGACAGGCGTCTTATCATAAGACCTCTCAAGAACATACTTTTGACTTTATTATATTCAAATCTGCCAACTAATGACACACTCCTTAATCCATGTTCTTGGGTTGGTAGCAAGAAAATAGGGCTTTATGACAATTATGAGATTTCAAAGACCAAGATTTAAATTTGAAGTGCGTCGCGCTGGTTTAGTGCCAGGATGTTTACGTCTAGTTGATCATGTAGCTACCTGCTCTCTGCATTCTAATATGCACTAAGTAACTAAGTCTCTCTGAGTCCCAACAAAGCTGCCGCGTACCATGCCGGAAGGTATGACTTCAGTGTGTATTGGATAACCGAGACAAATGAATCAAACCAACGACCGAGCGAAGAACTTGACAGCAAAACATAAAATGACAATAATGATTTCTTCCTAGCTGGGTTTCACTCTCCCATTCAGAAATCGCCCCAGCCGAACCGTTGGGTGCTGGGATGAAGGAGCACTCGCCGATGTATAGCACACCTTTCGTAATGGGTATCAAATGGCGAAAAGTTCTCTCACTTTGCTCAAGCCAGACATGCCATCAGATTGAGGTATTTATTTAAAAGTAAAAGGTACAATCAATAGCAGAAGACAAGGAACTGTCCAAAACAAAAGGTTTGAGAATATCAAAGCTTTGCGTGCACGTCGTCAAGATAAAAACCACGGCTACATTTCTATTCAACTACTATGCATCAGAAGCAGCCCCAACAGTCGCGGCATCCCAGCAGGAACGAACGTGAGATGCTCTTGTGACTTGGCGTACACATAAATTGGCAGGACGAGACTTCGACCAAAGATTACGACTTTGAAAAGGGCAATAAAGAGGAGAAATGACAACGGCCACTTGAACTTCATGACAGCAAGAAGTTGATGACCGTAAACCATTGGTGGTGTGACTGTTTTGGCGAATGAAATTTGCAATTTCTTACCTAGAGGACCACTGATTTGGCGGCTGAGGTGAACATATCCAAGGCAATAGGTATGTGTGAATATACTTGGAGGCCGTATTATGCGGGTATGGTATCCAGTGATTGAGGATCGAGAAGTGAGGTATTTGTAGGCTTGAGACGATGTGTTGTTATGAGATGCGGTGAGATGGCGAGGGGAAGGATTCGGTAGAGAGGAGGATAAGCAGAAGCGGAGACAAGTAGCCTGCGGAGGTAATTGTTAGAGACATACGTGTATATGGAGAATGGAGAATGAGGTTCCTGTTTGGAGGAAAGAATCGGGGCTAGTGATGAACTTGTACTAACGAAGAAGGACACATTGACTCCATGACAAAGTGCTGTATAGAATAGAACAATCAAGAAGCCCCGATTCCTACACATGAATAAAGGAGAGGCTTGCTCCTGGCGAAAGAGTTTCTGAAGGCATCCACGCGCTATAGACGGTATAGCGCATAGATCTACGCAATCCAAAAGTCGTCTGTGAAGGAAAGGAGGATCGATTTCTGAATGTCGAGACGAGAGGTTTAGAAGTCCAAGGAGAAAACACAGTTGGTTGTGGGTGAATTGGTGGTGCAGCGGATATTGGAATACTAAAGAGAGGAAAGATCGAAAAGGAAAGATCGAAAATAGGAGAGCAAGATCGTCGACGCATTATCTTTTCAATAGCGATGCCGGATGTGGAAGGAACATTGCATTCAAAGGAGCTGAAGCGACAGATGGGAGTTATTCGTTGCTCGTCACCTCCAAAGGGAAAGAAATTGACATTCGATGCTTGAGGTCACAACCAAAATCCCCTCCGACGAAAATTCCAGCCTTCACTTAATCACTTGTGTATCTGCTCAGCCACCAAATTTCTCAGCTTCAATCGCACCTTCCAATACTGGTTCTCCCGCGGTCACTGCTTCTTTCTTGCAGATCTTCTCGCGGGAAAGTTCCTTCGTCATGATCTTATTGGCCATTTTCCTCTCTTGCTTGACCTCTTCCAACACAACGAATCTTAACCCACTGTCCATACTGAACAATATATCGCTACGTATTTTAGTGTAGGTATAGATTCTCAAGCATGACTTGATTGATATCTCAATATGGATTGACTAGTCTCCTTTAGACAACGGATTAAGAAACGAGTCTTTGTCGTCTTGGTATGAGGATAAAGACTTCACCCCAAAAAGTAATTCTCTTTATGGTTTCCATCTCACAACGAAAAGGTTCTCTTTTAGCGCCAGACGAAGATTTGATAGGATATATAGAGACGTTTACACGAGATGTATCAATTAATCCTCAGGTCCATATTCCTCACCGACCTAATTGCTTTTTCTAAATTTTATCTTCCAAGACCTGCAGTAGAAACTTTCTCAACACCAAATAAACCATCAACGCCAACAGATACCACCAAACCCTTAAAGGAACCCCTCGAAAATTCCGCACGCCAAGTCTCCCCCCATTAAAGATCTCTACACTTACTCCCTCATTCCTTCTCATAATACCCTCCTAGCACCTCTAATAAATGATTAGTACAGTAACTCCATTCTATAATCTCCGTCTCTTCTTAGCATCTTCCCTATGGCTAGTTCCTAGCTAAACTCCACTTTACCTGTCAGACTAC